AGTCCACCCCCCACTCAGCAAATCATCTAAAACGAAGGACCCCACTAAGACGACCGTTGAAAACTAGCTAGGGATCTGAGAAAAACCAAGTCTCCCCCGCGAGTTGCAGCCAGGAACAAACTCCTGGACTACTATCATCACCACCATTGTGGACACCCAAATCTTGCAGTACTACTGCTGCTGATGTTACTCCTGGGGCCAAGACGTCTCTGTTTATGAACATAGTGAAATTGGAGTTGGTTGATATTCTGGAGAGGGTGCTGCATCGGTACAGAGAAAAAATCTGCAATGGATGCCGAGTCAGTCACCCCGGCCAGAGGCAACACGATTGTCTGAATGACATTCCAGAATATTTCTTCAGAAACAATTACAACGCGTTAATGAAAAGACTTTGGCTCGCCGACTTCATTACAGTGATTGACCAGAGTCTTAATGATAAAAAACATTTACACGGCTGAATGGAGGATCCAAGGCGCTTCGGAGGCTTTTCTGTACAATCTCAAAAACTGCAGACGCCTCAAGGAGAGACTTGAAAAGATCCATGCCGAGCTGGATGGAGAAGAAGAAGACTAATAACCAGCGGTTGATTGAAGCCAGGATTTTTATTTTATTTTTTTCGATACTTTGACTTTTCTTTAAAGTAAAATAAAAAATGGGTAACTACTATGGAAAACAATCTGTATATATTTATCAGAATGCAGTCAATACCTGTTTAATAAGTGTGTTGTTGATGACGATTGAAAACAGAATGAGTAGTGATCCCTGTGTAAACAGAATGGCTGAAGTTTGTAAACTAGAAGACATTTTGGATATCGTTCATTCTGGCAGTACTATTCCGGGTCATTGGGAAACGATTGTAAACGAAACATTTAAAGTGGTACTGGAATCTTCATTTTCCGAAACATTCTGTAACATTACCGAAGAAATGAAACAAACACCAAAAGTGTATCATGTGCTCGCATTGTATGCTCTGTTTGTAGATGTAATGCATCTTTGTGTCAAAAACAGCATACACACGAATACTTTGGCCGAAGTGCAAAAACTCCATTATAATATTTCCCTTCATCTGGGGGATTCTGTGCTGGAGAAGATCCTGGGGATGTTGCAATCAGTATAAATGTATTATTGATTCCTATGGGGTGAAAACAATAAATTGTAAATATGAAATTCTGCAAATAAAAAAGTGTTTTTTTACATTTTAAAAAACTGTTGTCTTCAAATCATAGTATAGTATTTCCTACATATCATTTTAAAAAAGAGTCACAGTGTAGAATGTCCAAACATTTATTTTTAAAAGTACTAGTATAGTATGTTAAAAGTATCTTGAAAAAAAGTCCAAGTATAGTATGTAGTTAAGAAATATATTATATAGTTTGTCTGCAATGTCAGTATAGGATCTCTAAAAAAAAAAAAAAATTAGAAAAAGTCATAGTATAGTTTGACAAAAAGATCCTGAAAAAGTCATGACACTGTGTGTTGAAATGGTTTTGAATAAACACATCAGTATTTAAAAAAGTAAAATTGTATCAAGTGCATCAGACAACTCAAATTACTCCATTTGAACCATATTATAAATAAGTAAAGAATGGTCATAGTATATAGCAGGGCTGTTTAATAGTTTTCGGTGTTTCTGTGTGTCGTTGTTTCAGTGTTTTGTGCTTCTGTGTTTTTGTGTGTCAGTGTTTTCAGTGTTTCAGTATTTCAGTGTTTCAGTGTTTTGTGCTTCTGTGTTTTTGTGTGTCAGTGTTTTCAGTATTTCAGTGTTTCAGTGACTGCTTATATACTACTGACTGCTTATATACTACTGACTGCTTATATACTACTGACTGCTTATATACTACTGACTGCTTATATACTACTGACTTCTTTAATTACACTTTCTGGATTACTACTACTTCTTACATGTTTTTGACATATTATACTTTGACTTTTTCATGTTTTTTTTAACATACTCTACCGTGACTTTTTCACAATTTTGGACATTTAGATTTTATTCATATATTCAAAATACTCTACTATGAATTTTTCCAAATGTTGCGACAAAACTAGACATGGACTTTTTCTTACAAACTAAACTATTCACTTTTTTCATAAGTTGTTGACATATTATACTTTGACTTTTTTCAAATCTTTTCTACATAATCTACCGTGAGGTTTTCATATTGTTTGACATACTACTTTTACATGTTTTCAACATACTATACAATTACATGTTTTAAGTTTGACAAACTTTACTATGACTTTTTAAATCATTTTTCGTCATACTACAATACGGCTTTTTTCATAATGTTCGTCTTACTTTACTCAGACTTTTTCCAAATGTTTTCCACATACTCTACTATGACTGTCATCGTTTTTATAATACTATACTGTGACATTTGTATTATACTTCATATATATACTCACCTCATGAAAGAAGACATATGAAGCTTTACATCTCAAAACTCATGTTTTTGTGTAATGCAGAGACCAAACAAACCAAACCAATGTGAGCGATTGTTCCACGTATCGCTGGATCAGGAATGATTTTGGAGTCCAAATGAAATCTGACACCAAAATCATTTTCCAGCCCTAAAATAATCAGAATAATAAATAAATGATTCTCCTGAAAGACACAAATACTTCAGAGTCTGACGAGAGTTTGTTTTGGTCTTTATTGCCCCTCCCTCAGAGCACAGCGTGGAGCCCCTCCCTCAGAGCACAGCGTGGAGCCCCTCCCTCAGAGCACAGCGTGGAGCTCACACGCATATGGAGGATTCTGTTGAATGTAACTGCATCAGTCGCTCAGGTTTAGGGATCTGTGGAGCGACGATGTTAACAACGGGGATTTTCACACAGTAGATTCACTTTCAGATATAATCATCTTTATCCTAATTAAAAGTGAACAAACTTTCCCTCTGTGTTCAATCTGAATCCCATTTAATCAAAAAGAAATAATATCTTTTTTAAAACATGTGGATTAGACTAAAAGAGGATAACATATGTTTGCTTATATTTGGGTAAAATCCAACATAAAAACACTCGAAGTGAGAAAACTGAAATTCAACATTGAATTTATTGATAAAACATTAAACATTGAATTGAAAAAAGAACTTGCAGGGATTCTGTTCTTTCTTCAGTTTGCTGTGCAGCGCATTCTTCTCGTTTCCTTACATTTATTTGATTATATTTAAAACAGATGAATGTCTTGAATGAATCTGGTTTCATTAGTTGGTAATAAATACGTTAATTGATGTAATTATTGAACATTTTGAGACAGTTTTATAATCCATAAGGCCAACATATTTACAGCACTAACACTATAATGTTTTTACACAGAGCCGTGCACTATTTAGTTAATTTCAGTCTGCACCAAAGACCCCGATACCTTTATGATAAAGAGCGATTTGAGAGAGCTAAACAGAGAGGGGGAGGAAGTGGTGGCTGAAGACAGAAACCTCTTCCTCTGATTGATACTCCACAACACTTGAATACACTCAGTTATTACTTTCAGGGATGTTAGGGTGTCCCTGGACTCTAGATAACTAACACATCTCTATGGATGTTCTGGATAAGATACGCTGCAGGTGCAAAGCTGTGATTCCCACACTGAGTGGTCTCACCTCCACACTGAGTGGTCTCACCTCCACACTGAGTGGTCTCACCTCCACACTGAGTGGTCTCACCTCCACACTGAGTGGTCTCACCTCCTCCACGCCTCTCTTCTGATTGTGTTGCTGCTTGAAGCTAAACTTCACCACATCATCATCTATACATCAGTTACTCCCCGTGTGGATCTCAGTTCTGGAAGAAAGCGAATGTCTCCGTAGCAAACGATGAATCCAAAGAAAAGGGAAAAGTCCTGATGAATGGGGTAACCTTTAACCCTGGAAAGCACCTCCTGAATAAAACTCTTATCTCCTGTCGAATCCGGCGGGTTTTACATCTTTTTAGGAACTTTGTATTTAAATTTTGAGAAATGTAATAAACACCCACAATAAGGCCCGTCATGTCACATGGCCCCCAACGTGGGGATCAAATAAAGCCCCCAAGAAGGGGAATGCCACTGTGACCCTGATGGCAGTAGATGTTAGGACAGGAAGAGAATGTGAGGCTGTGAAAGAAAACACTACCCTGGCTCCTAAATGGTGGAAAGAGCTCCCCATGGACATCAGGACACCAGGCCTAGATTCTTCTCTCCAGCACTTACGGTACGTCCACACAGCAGCGTTAAAACAATCTTGGAGGTGGGCGTATCTGAAGCTTGAGGATTTTTTGCGAGCAAGGCACCAACAACCAATCACATGAATCTCCCGCCCCCGACATACGAAGCAAAAAAGCCCGAAGTAAACTGGATATAAACTCCCCAAACAGGCGAAAAGCTACCACTGTCTCTGCCACCTCCCTCCATGCCTGGCTCCTCCGGTTTGTATCCCGGTAGGTAAATAGGGACTGGTCATAAAGCACCGGGTGATTCCCTACCGCTCATTTCTCCTCCATGTTTTGGAATATGAGGAAATGACCTGCGGTATGTCTCTCCCAGCATACACGCCGTTTGATTGGCTGACGCTTCCACCTCAGCCTCAAAAGTTGAACATTGTTCAACTTTTGAGGCTGAAAATCCTGAAAATCTCCGCTCTGCTTCCCACAATGCAGTTCGGCGAAAAGTGAGGGAAAGTGACGTCACCCCATTCAAAGTGAATGGGCAGAAGCGTTTCAAGATTTTTTTAACGCTGCTGTGTGGACGATCCGTTACGACTCGCTGGAGGAGAATATATCTGCACTTTCCTTGTTGTTCCGAGTTTGATTCTTTATGGTTTTTGCACTTATTGTAAGTGACTCTGGATGAAAGGTAAGAACTGGATCCACTGGTCCGGTTTCTTCTTGATCTGTCAGTGGGGATTTTTCTCAACGACAGTCAAACGGGGGAGTAACTGATGGATAAAGGGTCATATCTGAATGTGGATTAATGCTTTATATTAAAATGTGAGTGTTGCTAGTGAGCCTCCTCTGGGGGGGCGTCAGTTGATGGCCCCCCAGAGGTGAGGGAGGGGAGGAGGGTGGTGCTGTTCCCTGGGGGGTTGGTGCTGTTCCCTGGGGGGTTGGTGCTGTTCCGTGGGGGGGGTGGTGCTGTTCCCTGGGGGGGTGGTGCTGTTCCCTGGGGGGGTGGTAATGTTCCCCAGGATGGTGCTGTTCCCTGGGGGGGTGGTAATGTTCCCCATGATGGTGCTGTTCCCTGGGGGGGTGGTAATGTTCCCCAGGATGGTGCTGTTACCTGGGGGGGCGTCGGGCACCAGTGTGGTGCTGTTCCCTGGGGGGTTGGAAATGTTCCCCGGAGGGGTGGAGGTTGGATCCTGCAGGATGAAGGTGGAGGGGCCGCTGGACGAAGGACTGGCTTCAGATTGGGGGAGGGCAGAGGGGTCGGAGGAGTTGGACTCTGAGGACAGGTTGGAGGCGGGGGTGAGGACGGGGGAGTCGGAGAGTGTGTGTGGGAGGACGGGGGAGTCGGAGAGTGTGTGTGGGAGGGGGGGGGGAGGCGGGGTCTGTGGGGGAGGGGGAAGGGGTCGGCCCGGGGGTGTGAGGGGGGGTCGGCTGCTGAGGATCCGAGCAAACTACATCCCCCTCGGACACGTACCACACCTCGTTGTGCCTGTTCAACAGCTTCAAGGGACTACACACACACACACACACACACACACACACACACACACACACACACACACACACACACACACACACACACACACACACACACACACACACACACACACACACACACACACACACACACACACACACACACACACACACACACACACACAGAGGAAAATAAGAAGTTTCAAAGTTGAGAAATTCCCAAAACAATACAAATAAAGTCATAAAAGCCCTTTCTCTGTTTAGTGTAAATATTGTCTTTATTTTAAAAATGTTACGCTAGTTTGTATAATAGAGCTATTTTTTGCAATACATTTTTTTGTAATAATGTTCTTCTGGTATCTGTATGTAGCATTTATACAAAAGCTAATTCCCCGTATGTGTAAACCTACTTGGTGATGATAAGGATTATGATTGTGATGATGAAGTGTTTACCTGTCGTACCCCACTCCGTAGTGGTAGCTGCGGTTGTACGAGGCGCCCACCCTCCCCAGCTCTTTGGTCAGGAGGTGGGCGTGAAGCCGGGAGGTGACGGACAGCATCCAGCCCCCGTACCCCCGCACATACACATCCATCTCCGGCATCTCTGTGAAGTACAGCTGCACGCACGCACGCACGCACGCACGCACGCACGCACGCACGCACGCACGCACGCACGCACGCACGCACGCACACACACACACACACACACACACACACACACACACACACACACACACACACACACACACACACACACACACACACACACACACACACACACACACACACACACACACACACACACACACACACCATCAGCATCTGGGCATTATGCATCACTGAAGTCAACATGCTGCTCCACATGTGAACATCACTTTCTGAAGTAAAAAGCTAATGTTGGGCTATAAAGGAACTACAGCACGATCACATGACTTCACGTCACCACCACTAAGCTAACGGAGGCTAATGTTGGGCTATAAAGGAACTACAGCACGGTCACATGACTTCACGTCACCACTGCTAAGCTAAAGGTGGCTAATGTTGGGCTATAAAGGAACTACAGCACGGTCACATGACTTCACGTCACCACTGCTAAGCTAAAGGTGGCTAATGTTGGGCTATAAAGGAACTACAGCACGGTCACATGACTTCACGTCACCCCCGCTAAGCTAACGGAGGCTAATGTTGGGCTATAAAGGAACTGCAGCACGGTCACATGACTTCACGTCACCACTGCTAAGCTAAAGGAGGCTAATGTTGGGCTATAAAGGAACTACAGCACGGTCACATGACTTCACGTCACCACCGCTAAGCTAAAGGTGGCTAATGTTGGGCTATAAAGGAACTACAGCACGGTCACATGACTTCACGTCACCACCGCTAAGCTAACGGAGGCTAATGTTGGGCTATAAAGGAACTACAGCACGGTCACATGACTTCACGTCACCACCGCTAAGCTAAAGGTGGCTAATGTTGGGCTATAAAGGAACTACAGCACGGTCACATGACTTCACGTCACCACCGCTAAGCTAAAGGTGGCTAATGTTGGGCTATAAAGGAACTACAGCACGGTCACATGACTTCACGTCACCACCGCTAAGCTAAAGGTGGCTAATGTTGGGCTATAAAGGAACTACAGCACGGTCACATGACTTCACGTCACCACCGCTAAGCTAACGGAGGCTAATGTTGGGCTATAAAGGAACTACAGCACGGTCACATGACTTCACGTCACCACCGCTAAGCTAAAGGAGGCTAATGTTGGGCTATAAAGGAACTACAGCACGGTCACATGACTTCACGTCACCACCGCTAAGCTAAAGGAGGCTAATGTTGGGCTATAAAGGAACTACAGCACGGTCACATGACTTCACGTCACCACCGCTAAGCTAAAGGTGGCTAATGTTGGGCTATAAAGGAACTACAGCACGATCACATGACTTCACGTCACCACCGCTAAGCTAACGGAGGCTAATGTTGGGCTATAAAGGAACTACAGCACGGTCACATGACTTCACGTCACCACCGCTAAGCTAAAGGTGGCTAATGTTGGGCTATAAAGGAACTACAGCACGGTCACATGACTTCACGTCACCACCGCTAAGCTAACGGAGGCTAATGTTGGGCTATAAAGGAACTACAGCACGGTCACATGACTTCACGTCACCACCGCTAAGCTAAAGGAGGCTAATGTTGGGCTATAAAGGAACTACAGCACGGTCACATGACTTCACGTCACCACCGCTAAGCTAAAGGTGGCTAATGTTGGGCTATAAAGGAACTACAGCACGGTCACATGACTTCACGTCACCACCGCTAAGCTAAAGGTGGCTAATGTTGGGCTATAAAGGAACTACAGCACGGTCACATGACTTCACGTCACCACCGCTAAGCTAACGGAGGCTAATGTTGGGCTATAAAGGAACTACAGCACGGTCACATGACTTCACGTCACCACCGCTAAGCTAAAGGAGGCTAATGTTGGGCTATAAAGGAACTACAGCACGGTCACATGACTTCACGTCACCACCGCTAAGCTAAAGGAGGCTAATGTTGGGCTATAAAGGAACTACAGCACGGTCACATGACTTCACGTCACCACCGCTAAGCTAAAGGTGGCTAATGTTGGGCTATAAAGGAACTACAGCACGATCACATGACTTCACGTCACCACCGCTAAGCTAACGGAGGCTAATGTTGGGCTATAAAGGAACTACAGCACGGTCACATGACTTCACGTCACCACCGCTAAGCTAAAGGTGGCTAATGTTGGGCTATAAAGGAACTACAGCACAATCACATGACTTCACGTCACCACCGCTAAGCTAAAGGTGGCTAATGTTGGGCTATAAAGGAACTACAGCACGGTCACATGACTTCACGTCACCACCGCTAAGCTAAAGGTGGCTAATGTTGGGCTATAAAGGAACTACAGCACGGTCACATGACTTCACGTCACCACCGCTAAGCTAAAGGAGGCTAATGTTGGGCTATAAAGGAAATACAGCACGGTCACATGACTTCACGTCACCACCGCTAAGCTAAAGGAGGCTAATGTTGGGCTATAAAGGAACTACAGCACGGTCACATGACTTCACGTCACCACCGCTAAGCTAAAGGTGGCTAATGTTGGGCTATAAAGGAACTACAGCACGGTCACATGACTTCACGTCACCACCGCTAAGCTAACGGAGGCTAATGTTGGGCTATAAAGGAACTACAGCACGGTCACATGACTTCACGTCACCACCGCTAAGCTAAAGGTGGCTAATGTTGGGCTATAAAGGAACTACAGCACGGTCACATGACTTCACGTCACCACCGCTAAGCTAAAGGTGGCTAATGTTGGGCTATAAAGGAACTACAGCACGGTCACATGACTTCACGTCACCACCGCTAAGCTAACGGAGGCTAATGTTGGGCTATAAAGGAACTACAGCACGGTCACATGACTTCACGTCACCACTGCTAAGCTAAAGGAGGCTAATGTTGGGCTATAAAGGAACTACAGCACGGTCACATGACTTCACGTCACCACCGCTAAGCTAAAGGTGGCTAATGTTGGGCTATAAAGGAACTACAGCACGGTCACATGACTTCACGTCACCACCGCTAAGCTAAAGGTGGCTAATGTTGGGCTATAAAGGAACTACAGCACAATCACATGACTTCACGTCACCACCGCTAAGCTAAAGGTGGCTAATGTTGGGCTATAAAGGAACTACAGCACGGTCACATGACTTCACGTCACCACCGCTAAGCTAAAGGTGGCTAATGTTGGGCTATAAAGGAACTACAGCACGGTCACATGACTTCACGTCACCACCGCTAAGCTAAAGGAGGCTAATGTTGGGCTATAAAGGAACTACAGCACGGTCACATGACCTCACGTCACCACCGCTAAGCTAAAGGTGGCTAATGTTGGGCTATAAAGGAACTACAGCACGGTCACATGACCTCACGTCACCACCGCTAAGCTAAAGGTGGCTAATGTTGGGCTATAAAGGAACTACAGCACGATCACATGACTTCACGTCACCACCGCTAAGCTAAAGGAGGCTAATGTTGGGCTATAAAGGAACTACAGCACGGTCACATGACCTCACGTCACCACCGCTAAGGTAAAGGTGGCTAATGTTGGGCTATAAAGGAACTACAGCACGGTCACATGACTTCACGTCACCACCGCTAAGCTAAAGGTGGCTAATGTTGGGCTATAAAGGAACTACAGCACGGTCACATGACTTCACGTCACCACCGCTAAGCTAACGGAGGCTAATGTTGGGCTATAAAGGAACTACAGCACGGTCACATGACTTCACGTCACCACCGCTAAGCTAAAGGAGGCTAATGTTGGGCTATAAAGGAACTACAGCACGGTCACATGACTTCACGTCACCACTGCTAAGCTAAAGGAGGCTAATGTTGGGCTATAAAGGAACTACAGCACGGTCACATGACTTCACGTCACCACCGCTAAGCTAAAGGTGGCTAATGTTCAGTGGCTCAGTCAGTAGGGGCTTGGACTGTGAGCCGTAGGGTCGCTGGTTCAAGTCCCCGACCAGACCTAAATATGGAGTGTGGACTTCTACTTGGAGATGTCCCAGTTCACCTCCTGCCCTGCCGTGGTGCCCTTGAGCAAGGCACCGGACACCCCCCTTCCCCCCCCACTCCCATTGCTCCCCGGGCGCTGTACAATAGCTGCCCACTGCTCCTAGTACTAGACTCCTTACTAGGATGGGTTAAAAGCAGAGGCCAAATTTCACTGTGTGTGCTGTGTGCTCTGCATGTGTGACCATTAAAGAGGGTTTCATCCCTCCCTATTCTTCTATTCTAACTACAGCACGGTCACATGACTTCACGTCACCACCGCTAAGCTAAAGGTGGCTAATGTTGGGCTATAAAGGAACTACAGCACAATCACATGACTTCACGTCACCACCGCTAAGCTAAAGGTGGCTAATGTTGGGCTATAAAGGAACTACAGCACGGTCACATGACTTCACGTCACCACCGCTAAGCTAAAGGTGGCTAATGTTGGGCTATAAAGGAACTACAGCACGGTCACATGACTTCACGTCACCACCGCTAAGCTAAAGGAGGCTAATGTTGGGCTATAAAGGAACTACAGCACGGTCACATGACCTCACGTCACCACCGCTAAGCTAAAGGTGGCTAATGTTGGGCTATAAAGGAACTACAGCACGATCACATGACTTCACGTCACCACCGCTAAGCTAAAGGAGGCTAATGTTGGGCTATAAAGGAACTACAGCACGGTCACATGACCTCACGTCACCACCGCTAAGCTAAAGGTGGCTAATGTTGGGCTATAAAGGAACTACAGCACGATCACATGACTTCACGTCACCACCGCTAAGCTAAAGGAGGCTAATGTTGGGCTATAAAGGAACTACAGCACGGTCACATGACCTCACGTCACCACCGCTAAGCTAAAGGTGGCTAATGTTGGGCTATAAAGGAACTACAGCACGGTCACATGACTTCACGTCACCACCGCTAAGCTAAAGGTGGCTAATGTTGGGCTATAAAGGAACTACAGCACGATCACATGACTTCACGTCACCACCGCTAAGCTAAAGGTGGCTAATGTTGGGCTATAAAGGAACTACAGCACGGTCACATGACTTCACGTCACCACCGCTAAGCTAAAGGTGGCTAATGTTGGGCTATAAAGGAACTACAGCACGGTCACATGACTTCACGTCACCACCGCTAAGCTAAAGGTGGCTAATGTTGGGCTATAAAGGAACTACAGCACGGTCACATGACTTCACGTCACCACCGCTAAGCTAAAGGTGGCTAATGTTGGGCTATAAAGGAACTACAGCACGGTCACATGACTTCACGTCACCACCGCTAAGCTAAAGGTGGCTAATGTTGGGCTATAAAGGAACTACAGCACGGTCACATGACTTCACGTCACCACCGCTAAGCTAAAGGCGGCTAATGTTGGGCTATAAAGGAACTACAGCACGGTCACATGACCTAGTGTCACCACCGCTAAGCTAAAGGCGGCTAATGTTGGGCTTTTAAAGGAGCTACAAGTGAGGAAATGCTGACTCAGGGTTTAGGACTCATTCTTGCACATCTCTATAAGTTTGAGTGTCTGAATGTCTGAACCTTGTCATTGGTTGGCACCGGCGGCTCCTCCTGATAGGCTGCCGGCAGCGGGAAGCTGAGGGTGTAGACGGCTGGTTCCCACATCCTGGTATCCTCCGGGATCTTCACCAGGACGGGGGCGGTCATCTCCATCTGGACTCCTGAACACACACACACACACATAAAAACCCTTGAAGGTTGATATTTTTCAGAATTGTGAGAATAAAGTCAGAATTCTGACTTTTTTTTTTTTTTATTCAGACTTTTTTCTCAAAATGACTTTTTATTAAAATTATGACTTTTTTAAATACAATTTCGGACTTTTTCCTAAAAATTCTAACTTTTATAAAAATATGGACTTTTTTCTAAAACTTCTCACATTTTTCAGAATTCTGATTATTTTCAAAAGTCTGACTTTCCCCCAGGATTGTGAGATCAAACACAGAATTATGAAACATTTGTTAAAGCCAGGCTCATATTCCTGACATATTTCAGTCAAAGGTTTGTTGGAGTGAGTCTGCAGGTCTCACCCCCCACGTTGGCCCCGGGTGATGAACTGGAAGAGTCTCCTGAAGGCCATCGCTGCTCCCACTCCCATGAAATACGCCTCTGCGTCTGTGGACACCCAGCGGGTCGGACTGTAGTGTCGCACCTGGACATGGACATGGACATGGACATGGACACACACACACAACACACATCAACACACACACACACACACACACAATCACACACACACACACACCACACACACACACACACACACACACACACACACACACACCACACACACACACACACACACACACACACACACACACACACACACACACACACACACACACACACACATTATATTTAATTGATTCATGATATACTATCTAACATTGCGCATTACAATATGTAAAAATGAATAGCCATACGTTTTATTTATTCAACTTCATTGTCAGTACAGGTACTAGTAACAAAATGGTTTCTCTGCATTTGGCCCATCCTAATGTTTGGAGCAGTTGGCTGCCATTATGGTTATATTTAGGTCAGTTGTGTTCTTACATTATCACTCACACACACACACACACACACACACACACACACACACACACACACACACACACACACACACACACACACACACACACACACACACACACACACACACACACACACACACACACACACACACACACACACACACCACACACACACACACACACACACACACACACACCTCATATTCGTCTGTCTTGCAGACCAGCTGGTACTCCAGGCACTCCTTGGACTCGGTGCAGAAGCTTCTGTTGCTGCTCGGTCTGCAACAGAGACAGATATCAACCTCTTTCTTGATGACTGAGCGGTTTGTACTTCGCTTTTAAAATAAAAGTCACTGTCAAATCACAGGTATCTGGCCGCAGGTTGAAATGGAAAGACAACAATCCAAAATGGTTGTGTCAAATAGGGTTTGCCCATCACTGTTTCATAATGGGACACAAGTGAGTGGGCCTGAAATAACAACCTGTCCCTGAACTCTTTCAATGGAGGGTCCTCATGGCCCCAACGTGTTTTGTAGTTTCTGTATTAACTACAAAACATGGCATCCAAACAAATAGGGGTGGGGGAAATAATCCATAGAGCAGAGTATCGCTACACGGACGCCAAGTATGGATATTTTCTTATATACATTTTTCTTTCTTGTTTCTTAGCATATAAAGTTATAATACAGTATATAAACGAATTAAGACACAAAGCACCGCCGTATTTAAATGTTGATATCTCCGTTAATATCTGTACTTTATCTCCGTTCTTTTTCTCCGTCAAGTCTTTGCTTTGTATCTCGATAGTATCGTATCGTGAGGAGCCTGGTGAATCCCACTGAACTACCGGATCACTACGCAGTGTGCACTTAAGTTAAAGGTGCCTCCTCCTAGTATAGTCTGGTGAGTGGTTAGTGTGTTTACACCGTGGTTTCTTGGATGTACTGAATGTTCCTGAAGGGATCAACTTACCCGACGTTTCCTTCAGCCGCAACGGCGAGCGCCAGAAACGCAAAAACTGAGACGAAGGCCCTGAGGAGGAAAGGAGGAAGAGTCATCTGACGCACTACGGTACTTACTTACTGTTTACTCTTTAAAGCAGTTCATCTACTTGATAACTATCATCTATCATGCATTCATCATTTATCCAAAACATACAAAACGTTACTAACGTATTTATATATTTTCTAAATGTTGACTTTTTCTCTAAAGTCTTTGTTTTCTCTAAATTCTGACTTAATAAAGAAAGAGAAAGACAATTGTAGACAAGAGGCAAAAGTAGAACTAATATAAAAACTGGTAAATAAAGAGCAATATTTACACAAAATATAAATACACAAAAAAAAAGTTGAGTCCAAATATGAATATGAGTTCAAATGATTCAGAGGAGGTCGTGTTGAGGTAATATTACAAATATCCAGACGGGTGCGCAGGATTTACATGACTCCACACTTTATTATGTTTTAATAATAATACCCGACTGACCTCGCTCCCTCCGCTCTGCCAACCTCCTGTCCCCCCCCCCCCCCCCCCCCCCCCCCCCCCCCCCAACTGACCTCCTCCACAGACACACTCCCACTCACTCCCTCCGCTCTGCCAACCTCCTGTCCCCACCCCACCCCAACTGACCTCCTCCACAGACACACTCCCACTCGCTCCCTCCGCTCTGCCAACCTCCTGTCCCCACCCCACCCCACCCGGACCAACCTCAAGTCCTGGGGCGGCAGAGCCTTCTCCGTTGCTGCACCCTAACCCTCTGGAGCTCAATCCATCAGAGACTCTTCCTCCCTCACCCCATTCAAAACATCACTCAAAACCCACCTGGTCAACACTGCATTCAACCTCCTGCCCCCCCCCCCCACCCACCTGGTCAACACTGCATTCAACCTCCTGCCCCCCCCCCCACCCACCTGGTCAACACTGCATTCAACCACTGACCCCCCCCCCCCCCCAGAATGACTAACACACTCAAATGAAATAGATTCAGACGAGGTAGTGTTGAACTGAAATGTGAATAGTATTCAGAGGGCGGTTCAGGACTAACATGAACTCTAACTTTATTAGGTTTTAAATAATAACATATTTAAAAAATGGAAGAAAAAAAACAATACATTAAAAATATGAAATGCTAATAATAAAGGACACATAAATAAAAACAGCCATAGTCTGAAGGGTTACGGCATGTGGCAGAAGACATCTGCAGCATGACTGAAAGCATCAGTGCTGCAGAGCTGCTGCATCATCCGCTCACTGGCTCAAAGGCGTCTCGAGGTCAAACTCAAACTCCTCCATCAGAACCTCCAACAACCCAACAGCTCGTCTACACACTACGGAAGGTCTGAGTATTTAGGGCAGGATGCATTCAGCCGCTCACATCGCACTGCAGCTCTCTTTAAATATGTAGCTTCGCATGACGCTGCAGAAAGAAAGAAACCTCTCCTTTTCTGACGTTAGAGAAACACAACGAGATAAGGAAAGAGCTGCTACTCACATCGTGCTGGTCCACCTGCAGGGAGGAGAGAGGAGGAGAGAGGAGGAGAGAGGAGGAGAGACTGCAGTCTGCTGCACTCTGACTGCAGAGAGGAGGAGGGGGGGGGGGGGGGGGGGAGGGGCTGATCACCGGACACACGATCACCTTCAGCAGGAAGTCTGCCGTCATCAAGGACACTTTAAAGAGTCCCTGTTCCTGCCCAGTAGTTCTGTGTTAGTGCATGTTAATGGTCTGCTAACACTCAAATCCCCGTGTTCCTCCAGAGGGGCTTTGGGATATTTCTCTTCTAGAACATGTCTTCGTTCAGACTTGTGTAAAGAAGCCTCTGAAATGTGACTGTCCTTTATTTTAATCTAACCTTTTATGCTCTTAACCTGTTTTATATTACCATATTTTATTCAAGATGCTCCTTAGATCACTTTGCATTTCCTCCTCGTAGCCTTGTGAAGCACCTTGAGATGATGTTTTTAAAGTGTGCTACATAAACAAAATGGATTATTATAAATCCACATCCAGAGTTTATCTCGCTGACAAACTCACCAACAGTTACATTGGGTTTTGTGACCTGTCATGCAAAATGCACTTTCTGAGGTCTTCTCTACATCACCATGTGTCCCCGGTGTATCCCCGGTGTGTCCCCGGTGTGTCCCCGGTGTGTCCCCGGTGTGTCACCATGTGTCCCCGGTGTACCCGGTGTGTCAGGGAACTCACGCAGCGTCAGAAAATAAAACCCTCTCTCTTTTCCTCCGTACCCAAATCTCTAAAAACGGGGGAACAACGGAGCTGATCCAGATTTGCGTCCGATATGACGTAATATCTGAAACGTGGACCCACGGCCCTATCAGAAACGTTGCTATCAGAAACAATGCCCGACTGTTTTGGACGTAATATGGTCGGTGTTTACATTAGCATCGCTAACACTCAGAGCTAACCTGTACTGGAGAGCATGTGTGTGAAGAAGCAGGAAATAAAAAGGAACTCACCTTGTGGTATAACCGGCAAGAGAGAAAGCCTTTGAGCTCCATACTGTTTCAGAGATAATCCTTGATAATCCATGATATGGCGTTTCATCACGGCAGCATTTAGTTTAGACGGTAGCTGCCGGGTCCCGCATGAGCTCAGACCCCTCCTTTTTAAAGCTTTATACCCAAAATCAGCACTTTTGAAACAGGAAGTGAAACAGAGGGATATGAGGCATGGCTAGAATGGGTGATCTGTTTGGTGTTTGGAGCAAAACACCTCAGACATGTTTTTTATATTTTTGTATATATCTGAGACCTATGCTATTGCCTACAAATAGCCTGATAGGTGACCTTTAAGTAACATCCAAGTTCATTATAATTGTTTAACCTGTTAAGCACCAAGCCTGTTTTTCATGTTTCAGGCTCGAAAATGACATGCCCAAAACAAATGACTACAACTTAACTTCTAAAAGGGTTATATGAATAATTTCTTTTATCAAAGCAAGGTTACATCTGTGAGTTGGATGTAGAAGTGTCAGAATCAATATAAATGTTTTTTATTTTAAAGAAAATTCAGATTTTACATTGTAAAAAACTGTAAATTATAGTGTCCGTCCAAAAATTCTTTTTTACTTATAGTGAAAACTACCCTTGGATGATGGGTTAGTAGACTAAAAGCTTTAGGAATCCAAAGTACAACATATAATAAGTACCCTGTATCAAGATTGATGCAAAACAAGTGACATTTGACCTTTTTAGAGAGGTTTAGCAAAAAGAAACCACTTCTGAGGTGATTTGGGTGGAAATGTTTTTTTTTTCATATCTCTGGCCCCCCTTGCTTGATTTTGATGGTTGACACCTCTTTCTGACCAGAGCCAATAGAATCGAAGGGGGAGGCTCCCCCACACACACTCGTTGTGAAAACGAGCTTCGCGCATGTAATTTAGCATCAGAGTGTACCTATCTCTAGCTCTGGCATTTGGAAACGAAAAAGCAGTTTTATTGCTTATGGATTATCAGAAATCATTTCAAAGAGGACACAGACACATTGGATTAACCTATGGATTAACTGCAGCATCGTTTTTTTATCGTTTTAATGCAATTGAAGACCAGTTTTGACCAAGGTAAGCCATGTTAGCGTTTCTAGCTACCTAGCTCCACATGTTATGATGTACGCTTTCGTTTATAGCGTCGCAAATGTTTATCACTGAGTGTTGAGGTGGGCACCACTAGATTCAGTGTCTCCAGGAGATGCTAATCGAGGGGTTGGCTGTGCATCTAGGATAAGTAATAAGGGAGTTAGAGTGAGTTTAAGTGCAGTGATAGGTTACATTTTTTCGCTCGTGGATAATTCAGAGGCTGAGTGTTAGCATTGTGGGGTTTTTTTTATTTAAAAAATTAAAAAGATCAGTTATCTGAGTTTCTTCCCGTTACATGGATATAAAACATTCATAGTTTATTAAATATTAACATTCCTTAGACGTTGTTTCCTGCAAATGACGCGTTTATCCGCCCGGTACCGGGGGGCGGTGCGTAACAGGTTAACCTGTTAATTTGTGATTTCTTTCTGATAAATTTACAATTGCCTCAGAAAATTACATAATATCGTAAATTAATGCATTCATAGTCTCATATAATATTACATTTATATTCTGTACATTTTTTATTTCAACTGGATAAAAAAAGGTATTCTTTTTTTATATATCTAAATTTTCTCTAAATCTTTTTTTCTCAATGTTTTTGAGTTTTTCTCTTGAATTTCTAACTATAATCTTGAATAACATTGAATGCATTATTTCTCCCCAAACCCCCCCCCCCCTCCATCAGCTCCATTGTTAAATTCAACATGTAACCACTCCAAGACGAACACATTTCCAGAACACCAGCTTTATTGTGACAGTTCAGACATCACTTCCTCTGTGACTTCCCGTTTCCTCTCAGGTGAACAGTCACACCTGAACGCCTCCTCGTCTCCTGCGTCCTTCAACACAATCAGAACAGAACCCGAACGCGTCCTAAAGCCTCTTCATCAAAGTGCCTTCCTCTCCACAGTCTTATTTACATCTGTTAAGTCTTCAATAATTAATAAAATAAGCTTCACATCAAGAGCACGAAAGTAAAACCAAAAGCCAGAGATCATCTGTTGGGTCTCCCCTCCCCAAAAGACCCCTCCCTAAATGAGATGATCTGTTGGGTCTCCCCTCCCCAAAAGACCCCTCCCTAAATGAGAGATGATCTGTTGGGTCTCCCCTCCCCAAAAGACCCCTCCCTAAAAGAGAGATGATCTGTTGGGTCTCCCCTCCCCAAAAGACCCCTCCCTAAATGAGAGATGATCTGTTGGGTCTCCCCTCCCCAAAAGACCCCTCCCTAAATGAGAGATTTAGAAATGAAGATCTGGGCTGAACATCCACTAAAGCATTAAATTACAGCGACTCCTCGCTCTCCTGGAAATAATACTGAAATATAACATTTCAATATGCAATAAGGAAATATATTGAAATATAAAACCTCTTTCATATATTTCAATATATGGAAACAGAGTAACATATAAAGCGCAGTGCTGATGTGAAACTATAGAACCACCTGTGAGGGGGACGGGTTGAAAGGAAGCTTTCATCTTTGAGGGGTCTGTGTTCCAAGAATCAGAAACGTTTGTTGGACGCAGATTATCCCATTGGACCAGGAGATGCTGCCTTCAGGGACCAGGAGATGCTGCCTTCAGGGACCAGGAGATGCTGCCTTCAGGGACCAGGAGATGTTGCCTTCAGGGACCAACACAGAAACACTACATCCTCTCTGTTGAAGAATTTCCAAAGCTTCCTTTTAACATTCCTAAAAGTTAAATGTAAAGTGATTGAGCCGCCACCTGAGTCCGGGCTTTGTCTCCAGAAGATAAAAAAACATTACAGTTATTTTCACGTCGTCTTACGTTCACACACAGGAAGGTACGACCGGCAGCAGTACCGTTTAAATAGCCGATATAAACACACCCGAAAGCAAGTCTCTAAAATTATAATGATCTTTGGGGAGAGAGGGGAGAGACCCCCACCCCCCCTCCACTGTTTCTGGGTGAAGTGTTTTCAAGGAATTGGAGAGCGTCCAACAAAGTTTGTCTTTTTGTTTTTGCATAGCCAGACAGTGGACAGGACACTGCAACCTCTCCCAGAGTTCAACAGGGGATCTGGTGTGTGGGGAGGGGGGGGGGGGGGGGGGGGAGGGGGGAGGGGAGGGGGCATGGTCCATGTTGAGTACCCCCCCCCAAGGAGGCAGCTTCCAGCTCACAAGGTGGACTCTCTCGGGCGTTGTCCGTTACACGTCTTCTTCACTTTGGAGATTCCCTCCAGAGCTCCGGACTCAGTCACTCTGCACCAGAGACAAAGAGGGACGTCAATTACAGCCAATCAAAACACAGCCTTCAGTTCACCTGTTCATAGAGGACATGCAGAATAGAGAGGACATTGGTCATGTCAAATGAAAAGAGCCACCATTAGCCAATGACAGATAACAGGTCAGTCAGTCAGTTGAGTGGGTAGACTGGTATCGATGACACATTCACAACACATTGAAGTCACGGTGAGCTCACACTTCGTCCATCTCCACGTCCTCCTCGTCCAGGGGCAGCTGCAGGTAAGGGTTGTTGGACGCTGGTCTGAACTTATAGCCCGTCAACACGAAGAAGATCAGAGTGGAGACCTCCACCAGGAACTGCAGAGACACAGGGGACAGGAAGTAGGAACATTAGGAAGAGCCATGAGAGATAACTGACAGGAAGTAGGAACATTATTAAAGTCTGGATGTTCAATAAAAAGATAGAATAAAAGATATTTAATAATATGTTGCCCAAATCTACGCGTGTAGGCATGAACATAACGCGTGTAGGCATGAACATAACGCGTGTAGGCATGAACATAGCGCGTGTAGTCATGAACATAACGCGTGTAGGCATGAACATAACGCGTGTAGGCATGAACATAACGCGTGTAGGCATGAACACAACGCGTGTAGGCATGAACACAACGCGTGTAGGCATGAACACAACGCGTGTAGGCATGAACATAACGCGTGTAGGCATGAACACAACGCGTGTAGGCATGAACACAACGCGTGTAGGCATGAAACATAACGCGTGTAGGCATGAACACAACGCGTGTAGTCATGAACATAACGCGTGTAGGCATGAACACAACGCGTGTAGGCATGAACACAACGCGTGTAGTCATGAACATAACGCGTGTAGGCATGAACATAACGCGTGTAGGCATGAACACAACGCGTGTAGGCATGAACACAACGCGTGTAGGCATGAACATAACGCGTGTAGGCATGAACATAACGCGTGTAGGCATGAACATAACGCGTGTAGGCATGAACATAACGCGTGTAGGCATGAACACAACGCGTGTAGGCATGAACATAACGCGTGTAGGCATGAACATAACGCGTGTAGGCATGAACACAACGCGTGTAGGCATGAACATAACGCGTGTAGGCATGAACATAACGCGTGTAGGCATGAACACAACGCGTGTAGGCATGAACACAACGCGTGTAGGCATGAACATAACGGGTGTTGTTGTTGTCTCACCTCGTAGCACCACTGCCACTGGAACGGCATGGTGACCTTCAGCAGGATGGCGATAATCCTCGTGAAGTAGATATAACACACAATCTGAAAACCACAGGGAGAATGTTAAAAGATAAACCAAATGAATGCAGACTCCCCTTTCCAGGAGAATCTGTAGACTACAACTCCCATGATGCAACAGAGCTTCCCCACCGCCAAACTAAAAGGTTTTACTGTTGTTTTCATTGTGTACATAGGAGAATGTGCTTAGCCGCTCTTACCATCACATAATAATGCCTGAACAGTTTGAGCTTCTCCAGATTCATGGCCGCTGAAAGAGATGAGAGCAGAGTTAATCAAAGTGATTGGGTTTAGTGAACGCTGCAGGCTCTGGGTCTGATCAGGACTGGGTTTAGTGAACGCTGCAGGCTCTGGGTCTGATCAGGGTTTAGTGAACGCTGCAGGCTCTGGGTCTGATCAGGGTTTAGTGAACGCTGCAGGCTCTGGGTCTGATCAGGGTTTAGTGAACGCTGCAGGCTCTGGGTCTGATCAGGGTTTAATGAACGCTGCAGGCTGGGTCTGATCAGGGTTTAGTGAGCGCTGCAGGCTGGGTCTGATCAGGGTTTAATGAACGCTGCAGGCTGGGTCTGATCAGGGTTTAGTGAACGCTGCAGGCTGGGTCTGATCAGGGTTTAGTGAGCGCTGCAGGCTGGGTCTGATCAGGGTTTAGTGAACGCTGCAGGTTGGGTCTGATCAGGACTGGTTTAGTGAACGCTGCAGGCTGGGTCTGATCAGGACTGGGTTTAGTGAACGCTGCAGGCTGGGTCTGATCAGGACTGGGTTTAGTGAACGCTGCAGGCTGGGTCTGATCAGGGTTTAGTGAACGCTGCAGGCTGGGTCTGATCAGGGTTTAGTGAACGCTGCAGGCTCTGGGTCTGATCAGGGTTTAGTGAACGCTGCAGGCTGGGTCTGATCTGGGTTTAGTGAACGCTGCAGGCTGGGTCTGATCAGGGTTTAGTGAACGCTGCAGGCTCTGGGTCTGATCAGGGTTTAGTGAACGCTGCAGGCTCTGGGTCTGATCAGGGTTTAGTGAACGCTGCAGGCTGGGTCTGATCAGGGTTAGTGAACGCTGCAGGCTGGGTCTGATCAGGACTGGGTTTAGTGAACGCTGCAGGCTGGGTCTGATCAGGGTTTAGTGAACGCTGCAGGCTGGGGTCTGATCAGGGTTTAGTGAACGCTGCAGGTTGGGTCTGATCAGGGTTTAGTGAACGCTGCAGGCTGGGTCTGATCAGGGTTTAGTGAACGCTGCAGGCTGGGTCTGATCAGGACTGGGTTTAGTGAACGCTGCAGGCTGGGTCTGATCAGGGGTTTAGTGAACGCTGCAGGCTGGGTCTGATCTGGGTTTAGTGAACGCTGCAGGCTGGGTCTGATCAGGGTTTAGTGAACGCTGCAGGCTGGGTCTGATCAGGGTTTAGTGAACGCTGCAGGCTCTGGGTCTGATCAGGGTTTAGTGAACGCTGCAGGCTGGGTTCTGATCAGGGTTTAGTGAACGCTGCAGGCTGGGTCTGATCAGGACTGGGTTTAGTGAACGCTGCAGGCTGGGTCTGATCAGGGTTTAGTGAACGCTGCAGGCTGGGTCTGATCAGGGTTTAGTGAACGCTGCAGGCTGGGTCTGATCAGGGTTTAGTGAACGCTGCAGGCTGGGTCTGATCAGGGTTTAGTGAACGCTGCAGGCTGGGTCTGATCAGGGTTTAGTGAACGCTGCAGGTTGGGTCTGATCAGGACTGGGTTTAGTGAACGCTGCAGGCTGGGTCTGATCAGGACTGGGTTTAGTGAACGCTGCAGGCTGGGTCTGATCAGGACTGGGTTTAGTGAACGCTGCAGGCTGGGTCTGATCAGGGTTTAGTGAACGCTGCAGGCTGGGTCTGATCAGACTGGGTTTAGTGAACGCTGCAGGCTGGGTCTGATCAGGGGTTTAGTGAACGCTGCAGGCTGGGTCTGATCAGGGTTTAGTGAACGCTGCAGGCTGGGTCTGATCAGGGTTTAGTGAACGCTGCAGGCTGGGTCTGATCAGGACTGGGTTTAGTGAACGCTGCAGGCTGGGTCTGATCAGGGTTTAGTGAACGCTGCAGGCTGGGTCTGATCAGGGTTTAGTGAACGCTGCAGGCTGGGTCTGATCAGGGTTTAGTGAACGCTGCAGGCTCTGGGTCTGATCAGGGTTTAGTGAACGCTGCAGGCTCTGGGTCTGATCAGGGTTTAGTGAACGCTGCAGGCTGGGTCTGATCAGGGTTTAGTGAACGCTGCAGGCCTGGGTCTGATCAGCGGGTTTAGTGAACGCTGCAGGCTGGGTCTGATCAGGACCTGGGTTTAGTGAACGCTGCAGGCTGGGTCTGATCAGGCTGTTTAGTGAACGCTGCAGGCTGGGTCTGATCAGGATGGGTTTAGTGAACGCTGCAGGCTGGGGTCTGATCAGGGTTTAGTGAACGCTGCAGGCTGGGTCTGATCAGGGTTTAGTGAACGCTGGCAGGCCTGGGTCTGATCAGGCGGGTTTAGTGAACGCTGCAGGGCTAGGGTTCCACTGATCAGGACTGGGTTTAGTGAACGCTGCAGGCTGGGTCTGATCACGGGTTTAGTGAACGCTGCAGGCTGGGTCTGATCTGGGTTTAGTGAACGCTGCAGGCTGGGTCTGATCAGGACTGGGTTTAGTGAACGCTGCAGGCTGGGTCTGATCAGGGTTTAGTGAACGCTGCAGGCTGGGTCTGATCAGGACTGGGTTTAGTGACGCTGCAGGCTGGGTCTGATCTGGGTTAGTGAACGCTGCAGGCTGGGTCTGATCAGGACTGGGTTTAGTGAACGCTGCAGGCTGGGTCTGATCAGGTTTAGGGAACGCTGCAGGCTCTGGGTCTGATCAGGTTTAGTGAACGCTGCAGGCTGGGTCTGATCAGGGTTTAGTGAACGCTGCAGGCTCTTGGGTCTGATCAGGGTTTAGTGAACGCTGCAGGCTCTGGGTCTGATCAGGGTTTAGTGAACGCTGCAGGCTGGGTCTGATCAGGGTTTAGTGAACGCTGCAGGTTGGGTCTGATCAGGGTTTAGTGAACGCTGCAGGCTGGGTCTGATCAGGGTTTAGTGAACGCTGCAGGCTGGGTCTGATCAGGGGTTTAGTGAACGCTTGCAGGCTGGGTCTGATCAGGGTTAGTGAACGCTGCAGGTTGGGTCTGATCAGGACTGGGTTTAGTGAACGCTGCAGCTGGGTCTGATCAGGACTGGGTTAGTGAACGCTGCAGGCTGGGTCTGATCAGGACTGGGTTTAGTGAACGCTGCAGGCTGGGTCTGATCAGGGTTTAGTGAACGCTGCAGGCTGGGTCTGATCAGGACTGGGTTTTAGTGAACGCTGCAGGCTGGGTCTGATCAGGGTTTAGTGAACACTGCAGGCTGGGTCTGATCAGGGTTTAGTGAACGCTGCAGGCTCGGGTCTGATTCAGGGTTTAGTGAACGCTGCAGGCTGGGTCTGATCAGGGTTAGTGAACGCTGCAAGGCTGGGTCTGATCAGGGTTAGTGAACGCTGCAGGCTGGGTCTGATCAGACTGGGTTTAGTGAACGCTGCAGGCTGGGTCTGATCAGGGTTTAGTGAACGCTGCAGGCTGGGTCTGATCAGGGTTTAGTGAACGCTGCAGGCTGGGTCTGATCAGGGTTTACGTGAACGCCTGCAGGCTCGGGTCTGATCGAGGGTTTAGTGAACGCTGCAGGCTCGGGTCTGATCAGGGTTTAGTGAACGCTGCAGGCTGGGTCTGATCAGGGTTTAGTGAACGCTGCAGGCTGGGTCTGATCAGGACTGGGTTTAGTGAACGCTGCAGGCTGGGATCTGATCAGGGTTTAGTGAACGCTGCAGGCTGGGTCTGATCAGGACTGGGTTTAGTGAACGCGGCAAGGCTGGGTCTGATCAGGGTTTAGTGAACGCTGCAGGCTCTGGGTCTGATCAGGACTTGGTTTAGTGAACGCTGCAGGCTGGTCTGATCAGGACTGGGTTTAGTGAACGCTGCAGGCTGGGTCTGATCAGGGTTTAGTGAACGCTGCAGGCTGGGTCTGATCAGGACTGGGTTTAGTGAACGCTGCAGGCTGGGTCTGATCAGGACTGGGTTTAGTGAACGCTGCAGGCTGGGTCTGATCAGGGTTTAGTGAACGCTGCAGGCTGGGTCTGATCAGGACTGGGTTTAGGGAACGCTGCAGGCTGGTCTGATCAGGGTTTAGTGAACGCTGCAGGCTGGGTCTGATCTGGGTTTAGTGAACGCTGCAGGCTGGGTCTGATCAGGACTGGGTTTAGTGAACGCTGCAGGCTGGGTCTGATCAGGGTTTAGTGAACGCTGCAGGCTGGGTCTGATCAGGACTGGGTTTAGTGAACGCTGCAGGCTCTGGGTCTGATCAGGGTTTAGTGAACGCTGCAGGCTGGGTCTGATCAGGGTTTAGTGAACGCTGCAGGCTGGGTCTGATCAGGGTTTAGGGAACGCTGCAGGCTGGGTCTGATCAGGACTGGGTTTAGTGAACGCTGCAGGCTGGGTCTGATCAGGACTGGGTTTAGTGAACGCTGCAGGCTGGGTCTGATCAGGGTTTAGTGAACGCTGCAGGCTGGGTCTGATCAGGACTGGGTTTAGTGAACGCTGCAGGCTGGGTCTGATCAGGGTTTAGTGAACGCTGCAGGCTGGGTCTGATCAGGGGTTTAGTGAACGCTGCAGGCTGGGTCTGATCAGGGTTTAGTGAACGCTGCAGGCTGGGTCTGATCAGGACTGGGTTTAGTGAACGCTGCAGGCTGGGTCTGATCAGGGTTTAGTGAACGCTGCAGGCTGGGTCTGATCTGGGTTTAGTGAACGCTGCAGGCTGGGTCTGATCAGGACTGGGTTTAGTGAACGCTGCAGGCTGGGTCTGATCAGGGTTTAGTGAACGCTGCAGGCTGGGTCTGATCAGGACTGGGTTAGTGAACGCTGCAGGCTGGGTCTGATCTGGGTTTAGTGAACGCTGCAGGCTGGGTCTGATCAGGACTGGGTTTAGTGAACGCTGCAGGCTGGGTCTGATCAGGGTTTAGGGAACGCTGCAGGCTCTGGGTCTGATCAGGGTTAGTGAACGCTGCAGGCTGGGTCTGATCAGGGTTTAGTGAACGCTGCAGGCTCTGGGTCTGATCAGGGTTTAGTGAACGCTGCAGGCTCTGGGTCTGATCAGGGTTTAGTGAACGCTGCAGGCTGGGTCTGATCAGGGTTTAGTGAACGCTGCAGGTTGGGTCTGATCAGGGTTTAGTGAACGCTGCAGGCTGGGTCTGATCAGGGTTTAGTGAACGCTGCAGGCTGGGTCTGATCAGGGTTTAGTGAACGCTGCAGGCTGGGTCTGATCAGGGTTTAGTGAACGCTGCAGGTTGGGTCTGATCAGGACTGGGTTTAGTGAACGCTGCAGGCTAGGTCTGATCAGGACTGGGTTTAGTGAACGCTGCAGGCTGGGTCTGATCAGGACTGGGTTTAGTGAACGCTGCAGGCTGGGTCTGATCAGGGTTTAGTGAACGCTGCAGGCTGGGTCTGATCAGGACTGGGTTTAGTGAACGCTGCAGGCTGGGTCTGATCAGGGTTTAGTGAACACTGCAGGCTGGGTCTGATCAGGGTTTAGTGAACGCTGCAGGCTCTGGGTCTGATCAGGGTTTAGTGAACGCTGCAGGCTGGGTCTGATCAGGGTTTAGTGAACGCTGCAGGCTGGGTCTGATCAGGGTTTAGTGAACGCTGCAGGCTGGGTCTGATCAGGACTGGGTTTAGTGAACCGCTGCAGGCTGGGTCTGATCAGGGTTTAGTGAACGCTGCAGGCTGGGTCTGATCAGGGTTTAGTGAACGCTGCAGGCTGGGTCTGATCAGGTTTAGTGAACGCTGCAGGCTCTGGGTCTGATCAGGGTTTAGTGAACGCTGCAGGCTCTGGGTCTGATCAGGGTTTAGTGAACGCTGCAGGCTGGGTCTGATCAGGGTTTAGTGAACGCTGCAGGCTGGGTCTGATCAGGACTGGGTTTAGTGAACGCTGCAGGCTGGGTCTGATCAGGGTTTAGTGAACGCTGCAGGCTGGGTCTGATCAGGACTGGGTTTAGTGAACGCTGCAGGCTGGGTCTGATCAGGGTTTAGTGAACGCTGCAGGCTCTGGGTCTGATCAGGACTGGGTTTAGTGAACGCTGCAGGCTGGGTCTGATCAGGACTGGGTTTAGTGAACGCTGCAGGCTGGGTCTGATCAGGGTTTAGTGAACGCTGCAGGCTGGGTCTGATCAGGACTGGGTTTAGTGAACGCTGCAGGCTGGGTCTGATCAGGACTGGGGTTTAGTGAACGCTGCAGGCTGGGTCTGATCAGGGTTTAGTGAAACGCTGCAGGCTGGGTCTGATCAGGACTGGGTTTAGTGAACGCTGCAGGCTGGGTCTGATCAGGGTTTAGTGAACGCTGCAGGCTGGGTCTGATCTGGGTTTAGTGAACGCTGCAGGCTGGGTCTGATCAGGACTGGGTTTAGTGAACGCTGCAGGCTGGGTCTGATCAGGGTTTAGTGAACGCTGCAGGCTGGGTCTGATCAGGACTGGGTTTAGTGAACGCTGCAGGCTCTGGGTCTGATCAGGGTTTAGTGAACGCTGCAGGCTGGGTCTGATCAGGGTTTAGTGAACGCTGCAGGCTGGGTCTGATCAGGGTTTAGGGAACGCTGCAGGCTGGGTCTGATCAGGACTGGGTTTAGTGAACGCTGCAGGCTGGGTCTGATCAGGACTGGGTTTAGTGAACGCTGCAGGCTGGGTCTGATCAGGGTTTAGTGAACGCTGCAGGCTGGGTCTGATCAGGACTGGGTTTAGTGAACGCTGCAGGCTGGGTCTGATCAGGGTTTAGTGAACGCTGCAGGCTGGGTCTGATCAGGGTTTAGTGAACGCTGCAGGCTGGGTCTGATCAGGACTCACCTTTGCCGTCGGTGCTGGACGCCTCCTGCAGGTGACGGATGGACCTGAGAACACAACAACAATTTAGAAATGCACCTGCACACACAGCGAGCATGGTCCCTGTATCGAGTCAACAATCAAATGAGTGTCATGATTTGAATTGTCTGTTTCTGTTCAACGGTCGTGCTGTGGATGTTTAAAGAAAGACAGAAACACTGACCAGACGACGGGGAACAGGATGGCTCCGCAGCAGATGAGGTCCACCAGGAACAGGATCTCCTTCCAGAGGTAGTACTCGATGGAGCCCTCCTCCGTCGACTCGATGATGATGTACGCCACGTTGGCCAGGACCTGCAGACACACACATTATGGGTGAGAAACAACTACACACACATTATGGGTGAGAAACAACTACACACACATTATGGGTGAGAAACAACTACACACACAACTACTGTTTCCCAGGCCCACACATGAATACTGTTTCCATTGCACACACACACTTACAGGTACACACACACACACAGGTTCACACACACTTACAGGTTCCCACACACACACACTTACAGGTACACACACTTACAGGTTCACACACACACACACTTACAGGTTCACACACACACACTTACAAGTTCCCACACACACACACTTACAGGTTCCCACACACACACACTTACAGGTTCCCACACACACACACTTACAGGTTCCCACACACACACACTTACAGGTTCCCACACACACACTTACAGGTACACACACTTACAGGTACACACAGACACACTTACAGGTTCCCACACTCACACACACACACTTACAGGTACACACAGACACACACTTACAGGTTCCCACACACACACTGGTTCACACACACACTTACAGGTTCCCACACACACTTACAGGTTCCCACACACACACTGGTTCACACACACACACTTACAGGTACACACACACAGGTTCACACACTTACAGGTTCCCACACGCACACTTACAGGTTCATACACACACACACAGGTACACACACTTACAGGTTCCCACACACACTTACAGGTTCCCACACGCACACTTACAGGTTCATACACACACACTTACAGGTACACACACACTTACAGGTTCACACACACACTTACAGGTACACACAGACACACACTTACAGGTTCCCACACACACTGGTTCACACACACACACTTACAGGTTCACACACACACACTTACAGGTACACACACACGTACTTACAGGTACACACACACGTACAGGTACACACAGGTTCCCACACACACTGGTTCACACACACACTTACAGGTTCCCACACGCACACTTACAGGTTCATACACACACACAGGTACACACACTTACAGGTTCATACACACACTTACAGGTTCCCACACGCACACTTACAGGTTCATACACACACACAGGTACACACACTTACAGGTTCATACACACACTTACAGGTACACACACACACACACACTTACAGGTACACACACTTACAGGTACACACACACACTTACAGGTACACACACACTTACAGGTTCCCACACACTTACAGGTACACACACACTTACAGGTACACACACACTTACAGGTACACACACACACACACTTACAGGTTCCCACACACTTACAGGTACACACACACTTACAGGTACACACACACTTACAGGTACACACACACTTACAGGTACACACACACGTACACACACACACACTTACAGGTACACACACAAACTACTGTTTCCTGAATATTTTTGTTATGTATTTTTTACTTTGACCTTGAGTACTTCTTGCAACCCCGTCACACTCTCACCTGCAGAGGGATGACTATCATGAAGATCTTCTTCTCCTTGTCGGACAGGATGTATTTAACGAAGGCCCAGCCAGTGCCAATCAGAGCCAGGGTGATGAAGAGGAGCGCCCCCTTCAGCCTGAAACATTAAATACACTAATTATACATACAAGTCGCAGGATTTAGATAATCTTATGCTGCGTTCACACCGGACGTGATGCGATGTTTGGGGGCGGCGCGATTACATGTAAAGTCAATGCAGAGACGCGGACAGACGCAAATTTGCTCCGACGGCGAGCATGAAGCGGTGGACGCGAATTCCGCGGCGCGATTGAAGGGGGCCGCGACAAACGCTCGATTTGAATTTGTTCAACTCGAGCGTCATATTCGCGTGACGCGATCTCGCGGTAGCCAATCAGCGGTGAGGATCTCAGCCTGACGTCACTGACGTTCAACCAGAAAACATCAGCCGTTAGCTGTTAGCACTCAGAGCTCACAGCTCCTCATATCTGTTCAGAAACTAGACAAAAGTTAAACAAGTACAAACCACAGACTATTTATGTCTGTATAGGCCGTTGTTGTGAGTGTGGACGGTCGGAGCATATACTGCGTTAGCTTAGCCAATCTTCATTTAGAAAACACGCATTTTAAAAGGTGTTTCTCCTGCCGTCTGTCTGCAGACTTGTCAAAGCATTAATTCATGGTTTTTACTAACCGGTATCAGTATGTTGTTACTTCATCATTTAGAAACGTGCATTACAATTAAATCACGGTCAAATATGTTCATTTTGTTGTAGTTGTAGCTCCCTTGCCAGCGCGTCTTGTTTGAATGACGCAGGTAAACACAGCTGGCAGCCGCAGTGAAACTCGAGCGTTTAGAGCGATGCGATAAGAGCGAAGCGAATATTCGCATCGCGTCCGGTGTGAACGCAGCATTACTGTATATAATCCCTGCCTATTTTCCATTCTTGTAATATCATGGAATCATGAATGTTCTGGAAGCATCATGTGTGTTCTGATCAACATTTAGAAAGGAAAACTAATAAATCAGGTAAAATAAATAGACATTGTATTAACTTACTAAGAAACGGTACTTACAGGTGAGTAATGTAATACATGACGGCCCAGCCTTCAATGGGATGGCCCTCAGTGTTGATGAAGTGATAGTTAATCTGAGGGACAGAGAGATTCATCACATTAAAAGATGCATTGATATAATACAAGCAGATAATACATTAAAAGATGTGCTTACACTGTGGAACACCAGGGAGATGGCCTTGGTGAATGCGAGCGCTGCCATCAGCCAGTGGATCTTAAACACACTGTACCTGGAAACAATAAAAAGGCACAAAGGTTTTCACAGCTGAAACTGGGAAATGCTAATAAAAAGCCTGATTGGTCCTCCTAAATAAGGAGTCAGTGTGTACCTGTGCTTCATCAGCGTGTACACCCAGACCATGGCGGCGGTGAAGAAGACTCCGGCCATCCCGATGTAGAGGCGAGAGAGAGGGATCTCTGCTGCGGACAGGTAGCCTCCGGGGTTCTTCTCCGTCACCTCCACCTGCACAGCACACACTCACCTTACTATATGCTGACATTTCAATACACTAAACAGCTGGGAGCCAAAGCAGTGGAGCTATAGTATAGTAGCTCAAGGAAGTCTGAGGAAGCAGCAGAACTACAGTCGTCTGGTGTCAATAAAGCAGAACATGGGAGGAGATCAATTCAATGAAGTCCAATGGACCACAGATGCATGCAGAGCGTAAGCTGGTGCCGCAACATTACAATGCACTATTAACTATTTCCTTTTAAACTAGACTATTTAAAGAGCCGATGAGGTCGGCTTGTGATTGTACCAATGTGATGAAGGCAGATTTCCCAGCAGGAATACAAGTAGCTTAATGGGAGAATACTCAATTAAAGAACTAGTACCTCTAATTCTTCACCTATAGTGTGTTCTCTTACCTTTTAAAAGGCTCAAATAAAATGTCTACCCTGGATGTGTTCTTATTTGTTATTAACGTGAGCTTGTCTCTACATTTAACCATTTCCCCGCCGTGGGAATAATCACACATTTGGGATTCTGATTAAGGACAGTACTTAAGTAAGTGTACTCTTCAACACAGGCATGCACATGCTAAGGAACATGCTCAGGAACACGCTCAGGAACACGCTCAGGAACACGCTAAAGAACACGTTCAGGAACACCCTCAGGAACACGCTCAGGAACACGCTCAGCGCTCAGGAACACGCTCAGGAACACGCTCAGAAACACGTTCAGGAACACGCTCAGGAACAAGCTAAGGAACACGCAAAAGAACACGCTCAGGAACACGTTCAGGAACACGCTAAGGAACACGCTCAGCGCTCAGGAACACGCTCAGCGCTCAGGAACACGCTCAGGAACAAGCTAAGGAACACGCTCAGGAACACGCTAAAGAACACGCTCAGGAACACGCTAAAGAACACGCTCAGGAACACGTTCAGGAACAAGCTAAGGAACACGCTCAGGAACACGCTCAGGAACACGCTAAAGAACACGCTTAGGAACACGCTAAAGAACACGCTCAGGAACACGTTCAGGAACACGCTAAGGAACACGCTCAGCGCTCAGGAACACGCTCAGGAACACGCTCAGCGCTCAGGAACACGCTCAGGAACAAGCTAAGGAACACACTCAGGAACACGCTCAGGAACACGCTAAAGAACACGCTTAGGAACACGCTAAAGAACACGCTCAGGAACACGTTCAGGAACACGCTCAGGAACACGCTCAGGAACACGCTAAAGAACACGCTCAGGAACACGCTCAGGAACACGTTCAGGAACACGCTAAGGAACACGCTCAGGAACACGCTCAGGAACACGTTCAGGAACACGTTCAGGAACACGCTAAGGAACACGCTCAGGAACACGCTAAGGAACACGCTCAGGAACAAGCTAAGGAACACGCTCAGGAACAAGCTAAGGAACATGCTCAAGAAAATGCTCAGGAACATGCTCAGGAACACGTTCAGGAACACGTTCAGGAACACGTTCAGGAACACGCTAAGGAACACGCTCAGGAACACGCTCAGGAACACGCTCAGGAACATGCTCAGGAACATGCTAAGGAACACGCTCAGGAACACGCTCAGGAACACGCTCAGGAACACGCTCAGCGCTCAGGAACACGTTCAGGAACACGCTCAGGAACACGTTCAGGAACATGCTAAGGAACACGCTAAGGAACACGCTAAGGAACACGCTAAGGAACACGCTCAGGAACAAGCTAAGGAACACGCTCAGGAACAAGCTAAGGAACATGCTCAAGAAAATGCTCAGGAACATGCTCAGGAACACGCTAAGGAACACGTTCAGGAACACATTCAGGAACACGCTAAGGAACACGCTCAGGAACATGCTCAGGAACACGCTCAGGAACACGCTCAGGAACAAGCTCAGGAACATGTTAAGGAACACGCTCAGGAACATGTTAAGGAACACGCTCAGGAACATGTTAAGGAACACGCTCAGGAACATGCTAAGGAACACGCTCAGGAACATGTTCAGGAACACGCTCAAGAACACGCTCAGGAACACGTTAAGGAACACGCTCAGGAACATGTTAAGGAACACGTTCAGGAACACGCTCAGGAACACGCTCAGGAACATGCTAAGGAACATGCTCAGGAACATGTTAAGGAACACGCTCAGGAACATGTTAAGGAACACGCTCAGGAACATGCTAAGGAACACTCTCAGGAACATGTTAAGGAACACGCTCAGGAACATGCTAAGGAACACGCTAACTCACAGAGAAGTAGTAGGGGCAGTTTTTTGACGGGCCCCTTGTTGTGGCAGTAGTGGAACTTCAGGGTGTAGGGCCCCTCGGCCAGCAGGCTGAACACGATGTGGAACTGAGGAGAGACGAGGAAGAGTTTCACGGAACAGGAAACAAAACCAAACATTTTCAATTCTCAGAGAAAAGGGGTGGGGGGGGGGGAGCGTACGCTGAAGCTGTAGGAGCCGTTCACTTTGTCCAGAGCGAGCGTCATCTGATTCATTTTGTCCAGCTGAAAGCACAAATCAGAAGCCGTTAGAAACTGAGAGTGTGTTCACTGCAACCACACAGGCTGTTACTACAAACCCTTATCCCACCACGACACTATTCCCACACAAATCCACAAAGATGGAATACGGTCTGATAAAATATGATACGAGAAGATAGGATGAAATACAGTATAAGTTAAATACAGTATAATGTCAATAGAGTATAAGGTCAATAGAGTATACGGTCAATAGAGTATACGGTCAATAGAGCATACGGTCAATAGAGCATACGGTCAATAGAGCATACGGTCAATAGAGCACACGGTCAATAGAGCACACGGTCAATAGAGCACACGGTCAATAGAGCACACGGTCAATAAGGTCAATAGAGTATACGGTCAATAGAGTATACGGTCAATAGAGTATAAGGTCAATAGAGTACACGGTCAATAGAGCACACGGTCAATAGAGCACACGGTCAATAGAGCACACGGTCAATAAGGTCAATAGAGTATACGGTCAATAGAGTATAAGGTCAATAGAGTATACGGTCAATAGAGTATACGGTTCAATAGAGCATACGGTCAATAGAGTATAAGTCATAGAGCATACGGTCAATAGAGCATACGGTCAATAGAGCACACGGTCAATAGAGTACACGGTCAATAGAGCACACGGTCAATAGAGCATACGGTCAATAAGGTCAATAGAGTATACGGTCAATAGAGTATACGGTCAATAGAGTATACGGTCAATAGAGTATAAGGTCAATAGAGTATAAGGTCAATAGAGTACACGGTCAATAGAGCACACGGTCAATAGAGCACACGGTCAATAGAGCATACGGTCAATAAGGTCAATAGAGTATACGGTCAATAGAGTATACGTCAATAGAGTATAAGGTCAATAGAGTACACGGGCAATAGAGCACACGGTCAATAGAGCACACGGTCAATAGAGCACACGGTCAATAAGGTCAATAGAGTATACGGTCAATAGAGTATACGGTCAATAGAGTACACGGTCAATAGAGTACACGGGCAATAGAGTACAAGGTCAATAGAGTACACGGTCAATAGAGTACACGGTCAATACACGGTCAATAGAGCACACAGTCAATAGAGCACACGGTCAATAGAGCACACGGTCAATCGAGTATACGGTCAATAGGATAATACAAAATACAAAAGGATAGGATACTCTACGATATAAAGGCTCTTTGTGTCCACTGTGAAAATGATAAATGTAAACATGTTTTAAATAGAACAGACACACAAACACCCGTTACCTGGAATCTTTGTTCCCCTCCTCCTTCTCCTCCTCCTTCTCCTTCTTTCTGAACTTCTTGATCTAAAGGAGCTGCAGAAGCTTCAGTAACAGCAGGAGCTGCAGGAACAGCAGTAACAGCTGTAACTGCAGGAGCAGCGTCCCTCTTTTCCCTCGCAGGAGCAGCAGGAGCTGCAGGAGCAGCAGGAGCAGCAGGAGCTGCAGGAGCAGCAGGAGCTACAGGGGCTGCAGGAGCTGCAGGAGCTGCGGGGGCTGCGGGAGCTGCAGGAGCTGCGGGGGCTGCAGGGGCTGCGGGAGCTGCAGGGGCTGCGGGGGCTGCAGGAGCTGCGGGGGCTGCAGGAGCTGCGGGGGCTGCGGGAGCTGCGGGGGCTGCGGGAGCTGCGGGGGCTGCGGGAGCTGCAGGAGCTGCGGGGGCTGCGGGAGCTGCAGGAGCTGCGGGGGCTGCAGGAGCAGCAGGAGCAGCAGCCTCCCTCTTTTCCCTCACAACTGCAGGAGCAGCAGGAGCAGCCTCCCTCTTTTCCCTCCCATCTGCAGGAAACAAACCCCTCATATTCAGTGGGCTCAAAAACGATAGTTACGTATGTAACTACGGTTCTATGAATACTGGATGACCGCCAGAGGCGGTGCTTAGCACTGGATATCTTCTGTCTCGCGCATGCGCAGGTCGAATATTTATATCAACAAAGTCACGTGTGACCTCGTATGACCCCGGAAGGCATAAGTTCCGGTGCTGTCAACGAGTTCAGTTCTATGGAATCTTCTCGCAGAAACACGAAATTCCGAGAGACCAAGAACTCTGGCGGTCATCCAGGATTCATAGAACCGTAGTTACATACGTAACTATCGTTCTATTTCATCCTTACTGACCGCCAGAGGCGGTGCTTTAGCACTGGATGACCTATACCAACAGAGTCACGAGGAAGTCTGAATACTCACCTATAAGGATGGCCTAGACGGACTCTGCAGCAGGACCACACCCAGCGGGTGAGGGGCGGCAACATTCACCCTGTAGTATCTGGCGAATGTGCTCGGAGATGCCCATGTGGCCGCAGCACATATGTCCTCCAGGGGCACACCTCTCAAGGTCGCCCATGACGTGGAGACACTCCTGGTAGAGTGGCACTTTACTCTGGGTGGCAAGGGACGGTCATTCGCCCTGTATGCCTGGGCAATGACGTCCACGATCCAGTGGGACAAGCGCCGTTTTGAGAGCGCACAGCCCCTTCTAGGACCACCGTAACACAGAAAGAACTGTTCAGACTGACGCATGCCTGCGGTAGTCTGGACATAAGCTCTAAGGGCCCGCACCGGGCATAGGAGTCTTGACCTCTCTTCCCCCTCTCCTGATGGGGGGTCAAACCGTGCCAGCTGGATAGGCCGATTAAAATGAGATCGTGCCAGCACCTTAGGGAGGAACGCTGTGTTCGGCCAAAGGTGACACCTGAGCCATCTGAGTTCCACCTCAGACACGAGCTGTTCACGGACAAGGCCTGAAGCTCGCTTACACGCTTTGCTGAGGTGATGGCAAGAAGGAAAGCAGTCTTGGCTGAGAGCCACCTCAGTTCTGCCTGTAACAAGGGTTCAAAGGGAGGCGAGCATAGGGCATCCAGCACCAAGGGCAGATCCCATGTAGGGGCCCTTGGGATGTTCGGGGGGCGAAGCCTCAGAGTTCCCCTTAAGAAGAGGGATACCAGCCTATGGCTCCCCACTGTGTTCTTGTCAACCCTTGCGTGTTGAGCTGATATAGCAGCCACATACACCCTGACGGTAGCGGGACACCGGCCGTCGTCCAGGACGGACTGCAGGAACTCAAGGGTAGTAGGCACCGAGCAATGTACTGGGTCCTCATTTCGCCCTTGGCACCAGTCAGAGAACAGTTTCCACCTGTTTTCGTACTGCTTACGAGTAGATGGTGCCCTAGCATTGAGAATAGTCCTCCTGACAGGCTCTACGCAGTCGCTCAGCAGTGGGTCGGGCCCTCCAGTGGCCAGACCCACAGCTGGAGGTGGCAGGGGTAGGGGTGCCATATCCGACCCTCCAGCTGAGACAAGAGGTCCTTCCTGTTGGGGAGACGCCAAGGTGTCCCGCAACAGAGTCTGTGCAGCAGGGAGAACCAAGTCCTGGCTGGCCAGAAGGGGGCCACCAGAAGAAGCCTGCGGCCCTGATGAAGCACTCTGAGGAGTGTTGGTAGGATCAGAGGAAGGGGTGGATAGGCATAGAGAAGACACCCTGGCCATGAATGAGCCAGGGCGTCCTGACCCAAAGGGCTGGTCTTCTCCATCAAGGAGAACCATAGGAGGCAGTGGGTCGACATCTTCGAGGCAAAGAGATCTACCTCTGCCCTGCCGAAGAGACCCCAGATGTTGGCCACCACCTCTGGATGAAGCCGCCACTCCCCTGGTGGAGGCTTGTGACGGCAGAGGAAGTCGGCGACTTGGTTCTGCTCTCCGGGCAGATACATTGACCGTAGGCTGGCCAGGTAAGGAGCTGCCCAGGTCAGGAGAGTCTGGGACACCTCTAGCAAGCGTGCAGATTTGGTACCCCCTTGGTGGTTTATATGATAAACCGTTGTAGTGTTGTCCGAGCGGACAAGCACATGCCTCCCCCTCAGGTATGGCAGGAAGTGCCTGAGTGCTAGGTGCACAGCTCGTAGCTCTAGCACATTGATATGTTCTGTGCAGTCCAGAGCAGACCACTGTCTGCTGTCCTGTTTTGCCACACCGCACCCCATCCCGAGAGGCTGGCATCCGTCGTAACGGTCTCTCTGCGGAAAGGGACGGAGCCCATGGCCACGCCCCTCGACATATACGACCTCCCCCTCCATGGGGATAGAGTGGAGAGGCACTGTTGTGACACCCTGATTTTTCTGTGCCTGTGCAACTTGGGGTCTAAGTGGAGGCCGTTCAGCCATCTCTGCAGGGGTCGCAGTGACAACAAGCCTAAGGGAACGACAGTTGAGGCAGCTGTCAGTTTGCCCAAGAGGCGGAGAAACAGGATATATGCCAGAGACCTGCCCCTTTTGAAGAGGGGAAGAAGCTGGAGGATGTCGTCCAGGCGCTGAGCAGATGGACAGGCCCGCATAGTGACTGAGTCCAGAGCCACCCCAATGAAGGTTAGGCTCTGAGAGGGGTTCAGACAACTCTTCTCCATGTTCACCCTGAGGCCTAGCCGGGCGACATGAGAGAGAAGGAGAGCCGTGTCCTGGGTCGACTGCAACCGGGATGGTGCACAGATCAACCAGTCGTCTAAGTATGGCAGAATCTTCATACCCTGAGACTGCAGGGGCGAGAGAGCTGCCGCGACACACCTGGTGAACACCCTTGGGGAGAGTCCGAATGGGAGCACCCTGAACTGGAAATGACGGCCTCTGAAGGCAAATCGAAGAAACTGCCTGTGATGAGGCACAATAGGCACATGAAAATAAGCGTCCTTCAAATCGACGGACGTGAACCATTCCCGCCTGGCAACGGTACGAAGAACGTCCGCTGTGCTCAGCATATGGAAAGGTAAGATCTTCAGGAACTTGTTGAGTCCCCTCAGATCGAGGATTGGGCGAAGTCCACCGCCTTTCTTCCTTATCAGGAAGTAGGTTGAGTAGAAGCCCCCGGGCTTTGAGATGGGGTCCACAGGCTCGATTGCACCCTTGGCAAGGAGGACTGACAGCTCCTGGTTTAGGGCGATTTCTTTTGCCGGGTCGTTTATGGTGGTCATTTTGACCCGGCTGAAGGCTGGGGGGCGGTGTCGGAACTGAAGCTTGTACCCTTGGGTTAAAGTGGAAACCACCCAGGGGTCTGAAGCTTGAGCTACCCAGTAGTTGAGCTGCTGCTGGGAGAAATAACCGACAGCCGGCCCCAGACCCTCAGTACCTTGCCCCCCGGCCTCTGGAGGCCCTGGGGGGGCGACGGTTAGGCACCGGATACCGAGGTTGCCTTGGGGGCGAGTTAACAGGACCGTAGCGGGCCGCCCCCCCCCGTGGGATACTGAGGCCCAAGGCGGGCACTGGGGTGAGCCGGTGGATGGGAGCGGCCTCGGGAGGCAGATGCGGAGCCTCTAGGCCTACCAGGGGGGGGGCATGTCTCTGCGAAGAGCTGAGAACTGTTGCCTGGTCTGACTAGCTTGGACAGTCCGTTCGAGCAGCTATACGGCCGCTGAACCGAACAGCTCCCCCGGCTCCACTGGGACAGCACGGAGAGTCCTCCTACATGCCTCTGATAAGGGTGACTGTGCCAGCCAAACCTGGCGACGAGTCTGGACGAGAGTGGACATCAGGCGCCCAAGCTCTCTAGACATCAGAGCAAACGCCTGTAATGAGGCGTCACTGAGGCTGGTAGAGGAAGCGCTGAGAGCCTCCTGCTGCAGGGAAGCTGAGAGGGCGAGCATGAGGTGAGAGAGGGAATTGCCTATACGGCCCATGCGCGCCGCTGCATCGTAAGCCTTAGTGAGCAGGTCATCAGTGACCCGACATTGGGGTCGAGGGCACCTGGCCTGCGACCTCAGAGCTTCGTCAGGGGAAACTATGAGGGAAGCAATAGTAGGCTCAACAGTCGGCATGTGGTCAAGGCCGAATCTTGCCGCATCCTACATGGCTGCCAGCGCTCGGCCATCGGACGTAAGACGGGAAAGAGTCTTAGTGTCCCTCCAGCATGCATGTAACTCCCTCAGATACTCACAAGAGGGAGGAACTGCAAAGGTGGCGGGTGCCAAAGTGCGCCTAAAGAACGCACTGGCAGGCGCTGTCTCGGGCTGCTGTACATCCAGCTGCTGGCGAGCCAGTGCCATGCGAATGACGGTACCCATGGAGCCGTCATCTGCCTCCGAGGATGCATGAGCTGAGGTACAGGAGCCAGGCCCAGAAGCATGGGACGGGCCCTCTCCATCATACTCATTAAATTGAGTGGCTGAAGCTGCCATCGAGAACACATCGTCATCTGGAATCAGCTCAGCCATGGGTGGACTGGGTGCAGCGGCGTGCTCTGTACGGGCACCAGAATGGAGAGCCAAGAGGAGTGACTTCATCTGGGCTAGCTCAGTAGTGAGTAGGTCCACCCTAGAGGACAGCCTATCAGGCTTAGTCCTCTTCTTGGGCGGGGCACCCGCAGCCTCTGCTGCCCGACGCCTAGGACGGGTAGGTTGGGCTGTAGTCGACTGTGCAGGGGGAAGGCCACCCTCAGTCAGTAGTTCAACCTCGGCTAGTCTAGCAGCTCTTACCGCACGAGGCATGATGGTGCAATTCATGCACGGGTCGTCCGAAAGGCCCTCCCTCAGATGCTCGAGGCCAAGACAAGAGGGGCAAAGGTCATGGCCATCCTCTGGTTGCAGAGAAGCCATACAGGTGTTACAGCCGTTAAACATATCACCAAGGGGGAGAGCACTCAGCTGACTGTAAATAACTGGGCCAAACTCCGCAGTGGAGGGGAGTGAGCACAATAGTAGTTAGCGTGAGCGTGAGCACTCTGCTAACTGGGGTGAGAAAAAATGAAGTCAGTTAGTGGTATATATGCTGTGAGAGGAGAGCGGGAATACACTCTCCACTAGCGCCGGAGCGAGTTAGCCTGAGCGAGAGCACTCTGCTAACTAGAGATGGAACAGAAACCAACTGTGTGCAGGGAGAGGGGAGCGGAAACACTCTCTTCACTAGCGCTGTAGAAAGTTAGCTTTCAGCGGGAGCACTCTGCTAACTGGATGATAGTACAGGTAAAGAACCAAATGTATGTAGTGAGAGGAGGGCGGAGACGCTCTCTTCACTAGTGCAGTAACAAATTAGCGAGAGCCCTCTGCTAACTTGTACAATTATCTCAGTTTGAGAGTATATAGCACAATCAGCAATAAATGGTAGCGATCTCACCGACTGACGTGCAGGAGCGTCCGCTCTTTACCGGTCCGGAGCTCCTGGGGTCCGAGCGGTGAACACCGCGGTCCCCTCCCTTGGGAGGGCGGACAGCTCGTCGCAGCCTTTGGAGGGCGAGCGTTCTAGCCCGCAGCTCCGATAGAGACGATCACAAGGCTACAGGTAGCGATGAGCTAAGATCTAATTATTCAATAAGCTAGCTTGGCTTCTACTCATAAAGTAGTAACCTGCGCAGCGAGAAGATGAAATAGGACTGAACTTGTTGACAGCACCGGAACTTATGCCTTCCGGGGTCATACGAGGTCACACGTGACTTTGTTGATATAAATATTCGACCTGCGCATGCGCGAGACAGAAGATATCCAGTGCTAAAGCACCGCCTCTGGCGGTCAGTAAGGATGAAATAGAACCAGGAATTGATTTCAAATTAAGGCGAGACACCCCAGGTGAATAGGGTAATTTTTTTAACTTAAAGATATCAGCTAGAAATTTCTCCAGTTAATTACTTACAATAAGGCAATTGTTTTTTGTATTACAAGTTTTCTGAAATAGCATGTTTAAATATGCAAATGATCCATTATCTCATGAAATATGCACATATTTTAACACATTTCAGGAACCGAAATCTGAACTTTGGATAAAGCCAGGATCAAAATTATTGTTTCATTTTGTAGTCATATTAGTATCTAAGGCTTTTACAGAAGGGATTTTGGATATCTCTTTGTATCACTCCATAAATCAGAAAATACTGTCAACAGCCCTAAAATATCAATTTTCACCATGTTTTTAGGTATAAAATGTTATATAATTCAGGCTATGAATTATATATGACCAAACCCTTCTGTAAAAGCCTTCATAATATTGATAGGAATATAACTGGAAGGTTTGGTGTATGTAACTGCTACTGAAGTGGAAATTTCGAACTCAGAGTAGGAGAAAAAACTCATTTTGAGAAAAGGACCTTTAAAGATTGCAGTGTGGCGCTAGCTAAACCCTCCTGTTATCTGGATGACAGCTTGCGCATCGACGCACTCCGTGAAGGTATTTCATGTTCAGGGTCATTTGTTTTTTGTATAACCTTGCTTTGTGCAAGTGACAATTGTTGTCGTCTTCTCTGTGAACGTTTTTTTCTCCGTTATTTTGCCATTTTCAGATTTAAATTTCGAGCGGAAAGCTAACCAGGAAGTGCTTTAGCACACCACGTGACGCATCTGAACGAATCACGTTGTCAGAAATTGACACCAGCCAATGAGATTTCGTTTCTTGGTTTAAGACCCCTTTGCACTTTCACGATTGGTTGCTGATACAAAGGAAATGACCATATTTGGATCCGATGAGATTGTGCAGGAGACACGGAGCTTTCCAACGATACCTCTGAAGACATGGTGCAAACAGCGGTCGTGGAACTTTATGTTACGTTAGAATGCTAACTTTTGGTGAATTTAGGAGAAATCTACAGACGCAAATAGACAAACTATAGTAAAATAAACACTTAAATGTGTATTTTGTACGTTTTCCTTCCAAAAGCCTGAAAGAAAACATGTTATGGAATCAAAATAGCACAAAATCTCAAAATTGACCAGTGCAGGAAAAACGATGTTTTTGCCTGCCGTGTCTCGCCTTAAAAAAGGCACCAAAATAAAATGTTCCTTCAAAATAAAGTTTCTGCAGACTGACTTAAAAAAGAAAGTGGCCGCAATGTGTTAGTCAGTGGCTCATTAAGTATAAAAGAAAACTAAAAATCGAATTAAAGAATATTCATTTGTTCGAATAATTAATAATTTAAAACAAAAATATAAATAAGAGTAAGTGTTTATGTGTTTAAGACCAATCTGACTTTAAATGAGGGGACACATGTTTTATAAACTTCCCGTTTCCACAGACCAATGTCATTTCAAAATAAAAGCCGAACCTCAGAGTGTGACTATGATTGGTGTGGTTTTCAAAATAAAAGCACTAGAAGATGTCAAATTAAAAAAAACTGTGTTTCCTTCTAAGTCAGGTCAGAAAAATAGCGCTGGTATGATTATACGCATCAAATGTCTAAATCAGTAATAGAAAATAATTAGACATATCCACAAAATAATGAGATATTATATTAAAGCCTATAAATGATCCTTCTGCTTGGATGGGATGACATGTTCAACACTTCAGAGTTAGAGAAAGGGACTCACCTTTAGGCTTTGCTATCAGCAGGTTGTCCTGGTTCCCCATCACCTTCACAGTGACGCTACACACACACACACATTACAAAGTCAGTTTCACCTCAGGCAGTGACACACACACATTACAAAGTCAGTTTCACATCACACACACATTACAAAGTCAGTTTCACATCTCACACACACACATTACAAAGTCAGTTTCACATCTCACACACACACATTACAAAGTCAGTTTCACGTTTCACATCACACACACATTACAAAGTCAGTTTCACATCACACACACATTACAAAGTCAGTTTCACACACACATTACAAAGTCAGTTTCACACACACACACACTACAAAGTCAGTTTCTCACACACACACACCCACACCCACACCCACACACACACACACACACACACACACACACACACACACACACACACACACACACACCTTAGCTTGTTGATGTCGATGAGGAACAGGAGGAGAGGCTCGCTGTTGGGGGTCTTCGGGACAGTGAGTGGACACGTGTCCGTCTCCTCCGCCTGCAGAGGAAATTATAAAAAAACACAAAACACGATAAAACAATCTGAATGTGCAAACACCCGATCTGTCGTCCTCTGATGGAAACACGACTGAGACTCATCATGATCTGATTTAGGAGACTTTAGGGCTGAGAGCAAAAGAGAAGACACAGCAGCGACGTAAACAAGATGTCTCCCGACGTAAACAAGATGTCTCCCGACGTACACAAGATGTCTCCCGACGTACACAAGATGTCTCCCGACGTAAACAAGATGTCTCCCGACGTAAACAAGATGTGTCTCCCGACGTAAACAAGATGTGTCTCCCGACGTACACAAGATGTCTCCCGACGTACACAAGATGTCTCCCGACGTACACAAGATGTCTCCCGACGTACACAAGATGTCTCCCGACGTAAACAAGATGTCTCCCGACGTAAACAAGATGTCTCCCGACGTAAACAAGATGTCTCCCGACGTATACAAGATGTGTCTCCCGACGTAAACAAGATGTCTCCCGACGTATACAAGATGTCTCCCGACGTATACAAGATGTCTCCCGACGTATACAAGATGTCTCCCGACGTAAACAAGATGTCTCCCGACGTAAACAAGATGTCTCCCGACGTAAACAAGATGTCTCCCGACGTACACAAGATGTCTCCCGACGTACACAAGATGTCTCCCGACGTAAACAAGATGTCTCCCGACGTACACAAGATGTCTCCCGACGTAAACAAGACGTAAACAAGATGTCTCCCGACGTAAACAAGATGTCTCCCGACGTATACAAGATGTCTCCCGACGTATACAAGATGTCTCCCGACGTATACAAGATGTCTCCCGACGTATACAAGATGTCTCCCGACGTATACAAGATGTCTCCCGACGTATACAAGATGTCTCCCGACGTAAACAAGATGTCTCCCGACGTAAACAAGACGTAAACAAGATGTCTCCCGACGTATACAAGATGTCTCCCGACGTATACAAGATGTCTCCCGACGTATACAAGATGTCTCCCGACGTATACAAGATGTCTCCCGACGTATACAAGATGTCTCCCGACGTAAACAAGATGTCTCCCGACGTATACAAGATGTCTCCCGACGTAAACAAGATGTGTCTCCCGACGTAAACAAGATGTCTCCCGACGTAAACAAGATGTCTCCCGACGTATACAAGATGTCTCCCGACGTATACAAGATGTCTCCCGACGTATACAAGATGTCTCCCGACGTAAACAAGATGTCTCCCGACGTAAACAAGATGTCTCCCGACGTAAACAAGATGTGTCTCGACGTAAACAAGATGTGTCTCCCGACGTAAACAAGATGTCTCCCGACGTAAACAAGATGTGTCTCCCGACGTAAACAAGATGTCTCCCGACGTATACAAGATGTCTCCCGACGTATACAAGATGTCTCCCGACGTATACAAGATGTCTCCCGACGTATACAAGATGTCTCCCGACGTAAACAAGATGTCTCCCGACGTAAACAAGATGTCTCCCGACGTAAACAAGATGTCTCCCGACGTACACAAGATGTCTCCCGACGTAAACAAGATGTCTCCCGACGTAAACAAGATGTCTCCCGACGTAAACAAGATGTCTCCCGACGTACACAAGATGTCTCCCGACGTAAACAAGACGTAAACAAGATGTCTCCCGACGTATACAAGATGTGTCTCCCGACGTAAACAAGATGTCTCCCGACGTATACAAGATGTCTCCCGACGTATACAAGATGTCTCCCGACGTATACAAGATGTCTCCCGACGTATACAAGATGTCTCCCGACGTATACAAGATGTCTCCCGACGTAAACAAGATGTCTCCCGACGTAAACAAGATGTGTCCCGACGTAAACAAGATGTGTCTCCCGACGTAAACAAGATGTGTCTCCCGACGTAAACAAGATGTGTCTCCCGACGTAAACAAGATGTGTCTCCCGACGTAAACAAGATGTGTCTCCCGACGTACACAAGATGTCTCCCGACGTACACAAGATGTCTCCCGACGTAAACAAGATGTCTCCCGACGTAAACAAGATGTCTCCCGACGTAAACAAGATGTCTCCCGACGTAAACAAGATGTGTCTCCCGACGTAAACAAGATGTCTCCCGACGTACACAAGATGTCTCCCGACGTAAACAAGATGTCTCCCGACGTAAACAAGATGTCTCCCGACGTAAACAAGATGTCTCCCGACGTAAATAAGATGTCTCCCGACGTAAACAAGATGTCTCCCGACGTAAACAAGATGTGTCTCCCGACGTAAACAAGATGTCTCCCGACGTAAACAAGATGTGTCTCCCGACGTAAACAAGATATGTCTCCCGACGTAAACAAGATGTGTCTCCCGACGTAAACAAGATATGTCTCCCGACGTAAACAAGATGTCTCCCGACGTAAACAAGATGTGTCTCCCGACGTAAACAAGATGTCTCCCGACGTAAACAAGATGTCTCCCGACGTAAACAAGATGTCTCCCGACGTAAACAAGATGTCTCCCGACGTAAACAAGATGTCTCCCGACGTATACAAGATGTCTCCCGACGTAAACAAGATGTCTCCCGACGTAAACAAGATGTCTCCCGACGTAAACAAGATGTGTCTCCCGACGTAAACAAGATGTGTCCCCGACGTAAACAAGATGTGTCTCCCGACGTAAACAAGATGTGTCTCCCGACGTAAACAAGATGTCTCCCGACGTAAACAAATGTGCTCCCGACGTAAACAAGATGTGTCTCCCGACGTAAACAAGATGTCTCCCGACGTACACAAGATGTCTCCCGACGTAAACAAGATGTCTCCCGACGTACACAAGATGTCTCCCGACGTAAACAAGATGTCTCCCGACGTAAACAAGATGTGTCTCCCGACGTAAACAAGATGTCTCCCGACGTAAACAAGAGGTCTCCCGACGTAAACAAGATGTGTCTCCCGACGTAAACAAGATGTCTCCCGACGTATACAAGATGTCTCCCGACGTATACAAGATGTCTCCCGACGTATACAAGATGTCTCCCGACGTATACAAGATGTCTCCCGACGTATACAAGATGTCTCCCGACGTAAACAAGATGTCTCCCGACGTAAACAAGATGTCTCCCGACGTAAACAAGATGTCTCCCGACGTAAACAAGATGTCTCCCGACGTACACAAGATGTCTCCCGACGTAAACAAGATGTCTCCCGACGTAAACAAGATGTCTCCCGACGTAAACAAGATGTCTCCCGACGTACACAAGATGTCTCCCGACGTAAACAAGACGTAAACAAGATGTCTCCCGACGTATACAAGATGTGTCTCCCGACGTAAACAAGATGTCTCCCGACGTATACAAGATGTCTCCCGACGTATACAAGATGTCTCCCGACGTATACAAGATGTCTCCCGACGTATACAAGATGTCTCCCGACGTATACAAGATGTCTCCCGACGTATACAAGATGTCTCCCGACGTAAACAAGATGTCTCCCGACGTAAACAAGATGTCTCCCGACGTAAACAAGATGTGTCTCCCGACGTATACAAGATGTGTCTCCCGACGTAAACAAGATGTGTCTCCCGACGTAAACAAGATGTGTCCCGACGTAAACAAGATGTCTCCCGACGTAAACAAGATGTCTCCCGACGTAAACAAGATGTCTCCCGACGTAAACAAGATGTCTCCCGACGTATACAAGATGTCTCCCGACGTATACAAGATGTCTCCCGACGTAAACAAGATGTCTCCCGACGTAAACAAGATGTCTCCCGACGTAAACAAGATGTGTCCCGACGTAAACAAGATGTGTCTCCCGACGTAAACAAGATGTCTCCCGACGTAAACAAGATGTGTCTCCCGACGTAAACAAGATGTCTCCCGACGTAAACAAGATGTGTCTCCCGACGTAAACAAGATGTCTCCCGACGTAAACAAGATGTGTCTCCCGACGTAAACAAGATGTGTCTCCCGACGTAAACAAGATGTGTCTCCCGACGTAAACAAGATGTCTCCCGACGTAAACAAGATGTGTCTCCCGACGTAAACAAGATGTCTCCCGACGTACACAAGATGTCTCCCGACGTAAACAAGATGTCTCCCGACGTAAACAAGATGTCTCCCGACGTAAACAAGATGTCTCCCGACGTAAACAAGATGTCTCACGACGTAAACAAGATGTCTCCCGACGTAAACAACAACGTGACGTAAACAAGATGTCTCCTGACGTAGACAAGATGTCTCCTGACGTAAACAAGATGTCTCCTGACGTAAACAAGATGTCTCCCGACGTAAACAAGATGTGTCTCGACGTAAACAAGATGTCTCTCCTGACGTAAAACAAGAATGTCTCCTGACGTAAACAAGATGTCTCCTGACGTAAACAAGATGTCTCCTGACGTAAACAAGATGTCTCCTGACGTAAACAAGATGTCTCCTGACGTAAACAAGATGTCTCCTGACGTAAAAAAGATGTCTCCTGACGTAAACAAGATGTCTCCTGACGTAAACAAGATGTCTCCTGACGTAAACAAGATGTCTCCTGACGTAAACAACAAGGTGACGTCGGAGCTGTCACCAGAGCTGTCTCTGCCGTCTGACGCTCTGTTTGATACTCAGATCTCTGGAGTTATTATAAAGGTTTTTGAGGAACTGACATGTTTTCTGGCATCACTTTACGGGGGGGGGGAAATCTGCATTTAGGTATGAGGGTGCACGCTGAGAGTGAGAGGGCGCAGAGACCCTGTTACCCTGATAGTTATGCTGATGTACTCACTGTGTAGGATAAGACTCCATTGACTCTGGACCTGGAGAGGGTGAACCCGAGCTGCACAGAGGAAGAGAGAGAGGTGGTTATTCAATACATACTTCACTCTTCACTGCACCAGAACGCCCAGTTCTTGCAAATTAATATAGAACAAAATTGATATTTCTGCTTTTTTGAAGAGGCCATATATCAGTGTTTCCCACAGAATTTGATTGTAAGTGCCTTACTCAAGGGCACACTAGTAGTGGTGTTCCAGGCAGGATTTGAACTCGCAACCTTCCGATCATCAGCCCACCTCACTATCCATTAGACCACCAAACATTTTTTTTAAATTAAAAAAAATTAATAAAAATAATAATAATTTTTTTTTTTTTTTATGTGATCCATTTGTGGCGGACGATATTTAATTGTGGCGGCCCGCGGGAAACACTGAGTATGTAGTGTCTCTACTTTAAAGAGTCCTCTCCTGCTGATGTTCAGGTGTATATCAGTATGTAGTGTCTCTACTTTAAAGAGTCCTCTCCTGCTGATGTTCAGGTGTATATCAGTATGTAGTGTCTCTACTTTAAAGAGTCCTCTCCTGCTGATGTTCAGGTGTATATCAGTATGTAGTGTCTCTACTTTAAAGAGTCCTCTCCTGCTGATGTTCAGGTGTATATCAGCATGTAGTGTCTCTACTTTAAAGAGTCCTCTCCTGCTGATGTTCAGGTGTATATCAGTGTGTAGTGTCTCTACTTTAAAGAGTCCTCTCCTGCTGATGTTCAGGTGTATATCAGTATGTAGTGTCTCTACTTTAAAGAGTCCTCTCCTGCTGATGTTCAGGTGTATATCAGTATGTCGTGTCTCTACTTTAAAGAGTCCTCTCCTGCTGATGTTCAGGTGTATATCAGTATGTAGTGTCTCTACTTTAAAGAGTCCTCTCCATCTGATGTTCAGGTGTATATCAGTATGTAGTGTCTCTACTTTAAAGAGTCCTCTCCATCTGATGTTCAGGTGTATATCAGTATGTAGTGTCTCTACTTTAAAGAGTCCTCTCCATCTGATGTTCAGGTGTATATCAGTATGTAGTGTCTCTACTTTAAAGAGTCCTCTCCTGCTGATGTTCAGGTGTATATCAGTAAGTAGTGTCTCTACTTTAAAGAGTCCTCTCCTGCTGATGTTCAGGTGTATATCAGTATGTAGTGTCTCTACTTTAAAGAGTCCTCTCCTGCTGATGTTCAGGTGTATATCAGTATGTAGTGTCTCTACTTTAAAGAGTCCTCTCCTGCTGATGTTCAGGTGTATATCAGTATGTAGTGTCTCTACTTTAAAGAGTCCTCTCCTGCTGATGTTCAGGTGTATATCAGTATGTAGTGTCTCTACTTTAAAGAGTCCTCTCCTGCTGATGTGCAGGTGTATATCAGTATGTAGTGTCTCTACTTTAAAGAGTCCTCTCCTGCTGATGTGCAGGTGTATATCAGTATGTAGTGTCTCTACTTTAAAGAGTCCTCTCCTGCTGATGTTCAGGTGTATATCAGTATGTAGTGTCTCTACTTTAAAGAGTCCTCTCCTGCTGATGTTCAGGTGTATATCAGTATGTAGTGTCTCTACTTTAAAGAGTCCTCTCCTGCTGATGTTCAGGTGTATATCAGTATGTAGTGTCTCTACTTTAAAGAGTCCTCTCCTGCTGATGTTCAGGTGTATATCAGTATGTAGTGTCTCTACTTTAAAGAGTCCTCTCCTGCTGATGTTCAGGTGTATATCAGTATGTAGTGTCTCTACTTTAAAGAGTCCTCTCCTGCTGATGTTCAGGTGTATATCAGTATGTAGTGTCTCTACATGTCTCCATGCTTTAATGTTCAAAAAGCTCTATTTTTCTCATACCACCTCTTTTCACCCTCTGTCTGAAACCAGAGGCCGGGAACCCCCAGAAAGCGTGGTAGGAACTCTTTAAAGCAGTGTTTCTCACCGGGTACATGGTGTAGTTGATCTCAGGCAGACGCAGAGACACCAGCTTCACGTCCAGAGTCCCGTTGGCGTAGAAACCAAAGTTGTTGAGATCGACAGAGGACCGGGTTTCATTCTGGGAGCAAAGAGAAATACAAAATAATTCAACAAATAGCTGAAGTCAGTTTGTTTATAGAGCACTTTCAGGAGAGGAGCTTCTTGATATAATAAGTAAAGTAAAATAGTAAATAGTTACTAAAATACATAATAACATAATACAAGTACAAGATCTGAGTACTTCTACTTTTACTCAAGTATAAGTTCTGAGTACTTCTACTTTTACTCAAGTACAAGATCTGAGTACTTCTACTTTCACTCAAGTACAAGATCTGAGTACTTCTACTTTCACTCAAGTACTTCTTCCTCTGATAAATAGCATCACTGATTAGCATACTAGCTAATAAGCTGCTACTCACCTAGCCTCTCTGCTAGCATATCTTATCCCACAGTTAAAGATGTCAGACTTACATTCAGGGTGAGTTTGTGGATCCTGGCTTCAGACCCAAACAGCAGCAGGAGGAGCAGAACCCCCCCGGAACAACAGACCCTTCTGTGCGCCATCTCTTTATTCATATATATCTTTATTAATATATATCTTTATTCTACCTCCAGCTACAGCCGTTAGCCGTTAGCTGCTAACGCTAGCCGCACTCCTTCAGATAAACAGCTCACAGTGCTAACACTTTACGAGGCTACACGCAGTGCTAATCCTTAAATACACTCTGTGGGCTCTTTAGTAACGTGGTTTTATGGTCGGATTATAAACCTTTACGCTGTGTTTTCCGGTTCTTTTGTGGTTTCATGGCGGAAGGTAACAGCTTCCTGGAGCAGAAACACAACAGCGAAGAGAGACAGACGCGTCATTTCCGGTTGACTTGATTTCACGATAACGTGCAAACAAACACATTATAAGTATGTTTATGACACATTATAAATATGTTTAAGACACATTTGTGTACTTGATTTATAAATACATTTAGGTGCACAACCCTTAACCGTGTGTTATTGTATCATGCATACAGTCCAGTGTCACCACTTCCGCATTGGACTACACCTTTATCTTGTCACAGTCACGTGGGTCACTTTGTGACTCCACGTAGCTGCTATTCGGGTTGCCAGGTCTGCACGGACTCGGTTTGATATGTTGGACACGTGGAAGTAAAGTGCATAATGCACAGAGGGGCAGGCAACACATAATCAGAGTCTTTACTTAAGTCAGGGTTGTCCAAACTACGGCCCGGGGTCCAAACTTCGGCCCGCGGACCATTTTGAATCGGCCCTCACTCAGCAAATAAAAAAAGTATAATGACCTAAGTATCATAAACTTCTGCTTGTCTTACTTCTTAAATAGATATGTTCAAATATATTACACATAGTGGTGACTGGTCATTAGGGGCAGGTGGGGCACAGCCCCACCTAGTGTCAGCAGAAATATTACAAATAATGATTACAAAAAATGCAAAAAAAATATATAAAATATATTTTAAGATCATGTTTAATCATCTGATTCGTCTGTACATTGCTGTTTTAGTCTGTGTTCTTCTAATTAGTGTCTACAGTGTGTGCCTATTGAGCTGTTTAGAGCCATGTGGGACAAAACCTGATCATGCCCCTCCCTCTCACTGTCTAAGTGAACGGTGACTGTAAAAACTACACTGCGCATGCTCAGAGTATTTTCCTATTTAATGTGTGTGGCAACAAAATAATGACCATAGGGGCACTGAGCTGCCATCCTCACCATACGTCATCTCACATCATTCAGAGCTGATTGGCTGTAAGTACGTGTGCCGCGAAAAGTGTGGTGTGTGAAGAGGAGACGAGAGAGCTGCAGTGACGCGTCCTAAAAAGTAAGCTGCGCATGGCTTCCCTCGACAAAAAAGCAATGAGGTTTCTCCAGAGGATTTTAGAAAATAGCTCGAAATAAGATCTGTGGGAAACGTACCTGTTAGATAAATGCACGTTTTGATTAGCCGGATAACATCCACATGTCTACCCTACTTTTATAATTTTTTAATCATAAATCTATCGATTAGATTTATGATAGACTTTTGAAACTACAAGAAGATAAGGAGGACTTTTACAAAAAAGTAATAGAAATGTTTGTCCAGAAGGATAGGCAAATGGACTTCATCTTCAAGTCAAGGTAAGACCGCCATTTTATTGAAAATGGGATCTTACTAAGAGAGAACAATTCAATATTTAAATGATAAAATTACATTTTTTGGGTATCCTTTTGTTGAACTGTCTGTTTAAAATTAATCGAAGCATCAGACAAAAAAAGCTTTTGAAAATAATATTATATTTTGGTTTAGGTCAAAATATAATATTTGTAAACCTGAAGAGTCAGTGCCAGTGCCTCGCCAGCCATGAACCTCACTGCACGTCACTGCAGAAGCTTATATATAGACATCTAAGTTTTTTGTGCCCCACCACTTTTGTACATATAAAAACGCCACTGATTACACAGTATTCATGTGTTAATAAGCTCAATTTTCAAATAAATTCAGTCAATTAAAGTTGAAAATATGTTCTTACAAAATCTAAGTTGTGTGGTGATTGACATAATTCACCACGGAACTGTGGGTTGGGGGTATTGTTCCGCACGGACACATGTTAACTGTACTTACTGTGTGCCCTCCTTTCTTCTCTCACCGGGCTTCAAGCTGATAACATGTGTGTTTCTGATGCTCAATAAAGCTAACTTAGTACCCTCAATACACCGCCTCCGACTCCCGTCTCTCGGCACTACAGTTTATAAGAAAAAAGCCCAATAACAAATGTACCTTGAAATATAGTCTTCATATTTCCTCTCATTATCAGCGATCTGGAGCTTCTGTTTTAAGAACTGAGCTGCTCACAGAATCAAGTGAACCCTCTGGAGAGATGTGAGCTGTTTGTTTCTTACAGCATGTTCAAGTATCCAGAGTAATTTACCTTCGTTGGTTTGATTTTCCCAACTGATAACAGAACTTATGAGGCGATAAACCTCTAGGGAGCGGCCCACACCTTCTTATATCTTTCTGTATGTGGCCCTCGTGAAAACAGTTTGGACCCCCCTGCCTTAAGTGATAGGACCACTACATTCATCTTAAAATACTCCATTAAAATTCAGAAAATATGCTCAACAGCTACTTTAATAATAACTATAATGCATTTTATTTATAGGGCGCTTTCTGGAAACTCAAAGACACTTTACAGAGTCAAATTCATAAAACATAATTAAAATAACACACTTGAAATATATAAAACACAACATTAATTACAGATTAAAAGCAGTAATTAATGTACAATTGTGTTGTAAATATTATACCCAGTGTCTATGTTTCTGTCGTATATTTCCATATGTTTCTATAGAGTGGCGAAGTCCCTCCCCTTCCGGTGGACCTCCATGGGACCTTATTTCGGAAAAATTATGTATTGAAGTCAATGGAGAGAGAAAGATTATCTTTCGATCCCGTTTGAATTGTGCCACGAATTACACATATGATGTTTGTCAATTTAAAAGATAATTTTGCAAGTCAAAAAAAATAAAATGTGTTGTAAAACGGTGAAGTAACACATTTGTTTGTGTGAAACGCTCAATGAACTACATCTCTGGTCAACAACACACGTCACCAAGATGGCCGTCACTACTGTCTTGTCAACAAAACGATTGACTACCCTCACTATCACCACAATGAAACACGTCCTGAAGAATGTCATGCAAAGCTGCCTGCCTGCCTTCCTTTGATTCTCTCTGAACTGCCTGGTCGTTTTAATGTTTAATGTCAACCATTTGTGCAGATAGCATGAAGTAGAGAAGATCGCTAGCGTTAGCGTTAGCATTTCTCCCCCGGGCTTAAATGGTGTATTATAGAATGATCACACTGGTGACAGTACTATTCAAAGGGTTCATGAAATATGACTACTACTCTTACTGTTTAACATTTTGGGTTACTTCATGTTACTTCATGTTAAGGCTAATAAAAATGACAAGGCTGTAATGCTAACTAACGTGCTAGCTACTAGCTAGGTAGCTAACTTGATCAAGCCACTCCTGGTCGTTTCATCAGACGGGAAGCAAAAGAACGAGCAAGACCCATTGCTGGTATGATAACAACCTGGTACTAAGCACACAGGCATCTTGTTAAAGTTATCTTATCTTAGCCAGCGCCATATAGATAGATTATATCTATATGGCGCTGATCTTAGCTATCTCTTAGTGGAGGTAAACAATTGTGACATCACTTACGCGACTCTGGGATTTGTAGTCTTTCTCGTTGCGTATTTTTCATAGTCTTATATTTCAACAGTTTTACGACAAACTGTGACTTTTTTGACATGGAAATGATTTTTTAAGATTGACAAACATCATATGTGTAATTCATGGCACAATTCAAACGGGATCGAAAGATACGTTTTCTCTCTCCATTGACTTCAATACATTATTTTTCCGAAATAAGGTCCCATTACCCGGAAGTAGGTGGGCGTGACTTCGCCACTCTATTGCTTAGTGATTGCAGAGTATTCAGTATTTTCTTGATATTGTGTATTATGTAGATGCTCCAGTGATACATCTTTTTCTGTGTACCTTGTTTCTTACCCAGGAAACAGAAAAGCGTCTGCAGTATTGATCTAGTTTGAGTTTTTAGCAGTAAACGCACGGATGTATAAAAAGGACACTTGATGATAAAGATTTAAAGATGTCGTTGGAATAAGACGGAGGCCACAGAGACAGACCTTTTGATTTCCTGCTTCTTCACACACTGAGGGTGTTTCTCAATCTCGAGTATGCTTGCTTGGTAGCACATGTCTGCCGAGCATCTTGCTTCAGAAGCGAGTCAAGAATACTTCCAAGAACGTGTCCTACCCTACATATCAGAACAGTTGGTGGCTGGGGTGATGGGGGTCTTTGATAATCCTGAGGGCTTTCTTTAAAGGTTAACCTGGTATTTTTACTCCATTTATTTATTTGAGTTACTTTAACAGATTTTGATTAATGATGTTGAAATATAAATAACCCTTAAAATCGACTTTAGTTCAAACCTGAGTAAAAAATCAGTGAAGGTGATTGTCAAGTGCCAACAATCAGGAGAGATATTTGGTAGTGGGTGCTCGAGAAGGCTAAATATTTATCTGCAGATCTCTATAAAGTATATTCATTACTCGTTATTCTCTAATTGTTCATCAAAAACTGTATATAATGGCTATTTTGCACATCCCTTTCAAGATTTCAAGATGTTCAAAGGTTTATTGAAATATCAATTACACAACTAACTTACGGTGTAGTTATGCAGATGATGACACACTTGGGTCATAGGTTCCTCAACAAGAGATCTATCAATATGTGTGTACCTCCACCATTAAACATATTCTGCACATTTCTTATACTATCTACATACATCTTATAAGAGTATAATAAATATGTATAAAATCAGTTAAAATAAGTGCTTCAACATAGTTAACATTGCAGGAAAGTTGATTGTCAAGTTCCAAAACAAACCATGCAATATATTAAACGTTAAGTACTTTGTCAGGCTTAATATAGATACCCCCAAAGCTTTTTTGCTTACATGTATTTAAAAGAAGACCTTAACCTAAAGTATTATTTGATGTTTAAATAAAGCCTAGTTAGTTTGTCTGTTTTGCACATCCTCCTATTAATATCTTTGTACATCCGGCACTAAACTGTTTTATTCTAGATACCATTTACAGTATCTTCTTGATATTTTCTATTCTATATTTCTATCATTGACCTTCTACTTTGTACTCTTAATATTTAAATGTTTTCATCAAATATAACACATTCAAAAGTGCTTTACAAAAATGAAAGACATTAACACACACACAGACACACACTCACAAACACACACACCACAACACAAC